ATTTTTAATTTAATTTTTGTAGAACACTGTTCAGTTCTGAAATTAGAAAAACATAACTAAGATTTTAAAAAAAAAATGATTAATTAATTTTAATTTTTTACTGACTTGATTGTCATAGAATCGATTTCGAGAATAAAAGTTATTTAAAGTTTTATAATTTACATATTTAAATATTAACATCATCGTAAAGAATGTTGCACTCTTAAAAGATAATAATCTCTCCGGATTTTAAGGTTATGTACTTTTAATAATGGCGGAAAAAAATTTAATTAATCCATATAAAATTCTTAATGATTGCCTTAAATTAGCTAGGTCTGTTTCTGATTACTATTAAAAATCTTTTAATCCTTTTTTTGAATATATAATATTATAATAATATATTTCATAACTTTTAAATATTAAGGTATTTTTTTTAGGTTTCTAAATTTTTGTTATATGCATGTTTAGGCGGCTAAGAGCCTGTTGATGATAGTGGCGCGGAACTTTCTGTTCTGTCACAGCCTTGGGCAGCCAGCTTTGCATTTGGTGGAAAACCAGACCAGCCGAGCACGTGCAGCGCAGAAGGGGTTTCGAGGACGGGGCGCAGGAAAAAGGCTGAGTGCAGATGAGGACTGCAATAAACTGCCATACATAAGTGAAAATTGTGAAATGAAAACTTGCGCGAGCATAAATCAATATACACAGGGGGGAAGGCGGGGGGTCATGGGTTCTCATGGCAAAAGGAAAAAAAAAACAAAATCAACATGGAAAAATGTCACCGAATCAGGTTTACCTCCTCTTAAAGCCTGGATGTCGACTAAACCTCGTGTTTATGAATCAGCTGCGAGATTTTTCCTCCAGCTGGTGTAACCCTTTGAATACGGGATGCAGGACAAAAGTGGTGGCACATTACCCGTCTGATCCGGACACATGTGATTGCACGGGGTGCCTGGGTTGCCTGGGATGCCTCTGTTGGCTTGTGCTAACTCTGGCAAAAATTTGATTTTATAAAAATGTGACTTAAATTGCTTATATATGAACGTGATTTCGTGACGTTGCGCCATTTTCTTCACTTTTTGAACATATTATTTTATTAACTTAATCCTAAATATTTATCTATTTTCAGTTCATTAAAGCTTATATGTGTATTTTTCCAGCAATTGCCGATTTTTTAACTCAGTGTTATTTTATAAAAAAATACAAAATTATTTTAAATCATTTGTTAACCTAGTTCCAATAATAATCATTTAATCATTATATTAGAGGAAAAATGCAGAGCACTTTAGTAAATTATTTTCTTGCTTTTCTGCCTTTTTTCTGCCCTTTAACTTAAGGCCAATAACAATTCGCATTGCAATTATGGTGACAGCTTCTTCCGCAGACGACGAGATAAACCAAAAACATTTAAAATTAAAACTTAATTTAAATAAATTATTTTCTTGCCATTTTGCAACCGTTGTTAGCGTTTTCCCACTTTTTCACCAAGTGGCTGGATAATTGTATCCGAGCAATCATCCCGCATTTCCAGTTGCCGCAGGACAGAACAGAACTGAACACTTTAAAACCATTTGCACTCGTAATTAAATTTTGAGAGCGGATGAAATTGTGGCGGCAAAATAAAGAACAAAATGCATTTGCCAGGGAAACATTTGTGCATCCAGCCAAAATGCGCATATCCGCCATGGAAAAATCTACGCCTAACCACCTAAGTGATGGTTCCGTTTTTGTTTAGTGCTCAGTATTCCGGCCTTGACGTAACCAAATGCGACTGATAGAAGGAGGGGATAATTTGCAAAGGCCTGGCCCTGGCCGTTAAGAGAACTTGGCCTAATCGAATGAATGTCGAATGGACCCAAATAAAATCACGCCTGCCTGCACATTTTTTCGACGTTGAAAGTGGAAGGAGAATCGAGTGGTTTCTTAACAGCTCTCTCTCTCTCTGCTCAGTTGGTTCCTTTGATCGTCCTGAATGACCCTCAATTGCCTCAATCGGTTTCTAAAGAGCCTAGCATAAAAGGCACAAAGGTGGCTAATTTTAGATATATTTCAAGCGATAAACATTTAGTATTTAAATTGTATTTCAACATCTTTATTGGCAGGACATTCAACAGGTTATGCTCAACTGCTCAGGAACTTAATTAACTCATTACGTAAACAGGACAGTGCTGTAGACAGGATTAAGTTGAGAGGGGTTCTTGGAACAAATTTTCTGTAATACATTTTTTTAAAACAATTTTTTTGACAGGATTTAACCTAGGCGAAAATGTGATTATATGGACAGACACCCTAGACACCAATAAAAAAGTATCTTTGAGAAAAATAATAATATTCAATTTAGCTTGATCTTTTTGAACAATAAACTTTTTGTTTTGTAGTTGCTTGTAGTTACGAAATTGCCTTTTTGAAGTTTCATAGCAGTGCCTTTGTGGAACCTTGAACAAAGTGGTGATATTAGGACAGACTTTCGGAAGTCCGTAGCTAGGTACTTTTAACGAGCGCTCCAAAGCAGCCTGTGCACATTTCCAGTTAACTGACAGAAGTGTGTAAGCCCATTGACTGCCAACAAGCAGGCAAATTGTACCGACAATGAACGTATTCCCATATCCTGTTTAGATGATTAATTGCCATTGCCACAGCTTGTGACCCATGGAAAGGCATTCGATTTTCCCCAAAATGCTGTTTGCATTCAGTCGGAACAAAAGTCAAAACAAAAACCAGCACCCCATTTTCGGGGGAGCCTGAGAGCAAAGACAGATTTCAATTGGCCAATTAGTGCTATTTAAATGGTAAAGCACGGCGCTTTCAAAGCGGAACTCTATATATTTTCCAGCTGATATTTTCCACAAAAGGCAGAGTCGTCGTCTTTGTTTTGATGTTCCGAGAGTTGTAAATATAATAAGGAAAACGCTTGAGCGGCGATGCCCGGGACATAGGTCACTTGTAGTTGTTCCCAGAGGCTGAAGTTGTAGTTGCCCCTCAGTTGCTCTGCAGCTGCTGCATTTGTTGCTGTTGGTAAAAGTTTCGAGCTCAGAATTTGTCTTTGGCCAAGTGCTGTTTATGCCCGGGTTCCTTTCGCAGAAGTTCGTGTTTGAGTTTCAGCTGGAAAGCACTTGCGGCAAGACCTCAAAGTCTGCAAGCCCGCCGGGCTCACGTGGCCGCCTGAAAGTTATTTAATAAGCAATTAAGTTCCCTAATTAAATACATTTTCTCAGAGATTTACATAATAAGTAATCCACCCAAAGCGTTCTGCACAAGCAGACGATAATTGATTTGCCATGTCCAATTCCGTTTCCAATTGGTATGCGTTACCAAACTTGATGTGGTTTCGGTTTCAGTTGTTAACAAATCATGAACTAATACCAGATGAGCTGAGTATAGAAAGGTGGAAAGGACACCTTTGAACATCGAATTTGGAATACTCTTGAAGACAGTGGCGGATCTAGGATTTAAATAACCATTTTCTTGCAAACTTTTTGATTACCACGTTTCCTTTACATTGTTGCACATTCTTAAAATACAACATTTTCTTTTACTTTTTACACGGGTGTATCACACAGATATCAAAAAAATAAATTTAAATTATATGCGATACTCGCGTATTGAATTTTAAATTTTATTTGTATTTTTAAAGGCAGACTAATAAAATAATAATAAAACTCGTGCAACATTAAATGAGAATGTCTAGTTGACCCGAGTCCTTTTTTTAAATAAAAGAATTTTTTACTATTATTAGATGCATTTCTGCTAGTTCATTCTTTTTATTTCGGATGGTTTACAATTTTTATTTTATTCCAGTTCAGCCATTTCATCTATTTCCGTTTTGTAGCTTAAAACCTCCAGGCACAATGAACCAAATTTATATGGAAATTTAAAAGCACGCATGTCGCTGACGGAATCCGAATTTGCACAATTTAAAGGGAAACGGAATTTCACATTTCTGTCGCTTTGGGAACTGAAAGGATGGCTGTCAAATTGAATGACTGTTTTAAGCCAATTTTTGTGTACGTTATCAAAGTGGCTTCTAACAATTAAATTTAGTTTAGCCAAAAGGCCGACGTACCAATGTTTTAACAAAATAGAATAAAATATGATTTAAGCTTATCAATCAAGAATATACATTTTTAAAAGCCATGCTAAAGGATTTCCAAACGTGTCAATACTTTTAGACCACCCTCTTCAAGAGTACATTGGAACACTTTGGGTAAACAAAGGATTGCTACGCAAATTGTAACCCCCTCTTTGAACACTTATCACAAATTGAATTAACTTCAAGTTGCGGCTTAAACGAGTTTGGCATGCAAAATACATAAAAAACTTTGTTAATCAGTTGAAAGCGGGCGAAATATTAAGTTCGACATTGTGATAAACTTTAACCGAATAGTTAACACAATGTTATTGGTTTCCCGCTGCTTTTAATAACTTTTCTTTTGCAAGCCCACAACCTTTTCCTGATGGTCTGAAAAAAGTTCGAACCAAGTTTATTGGTTTCACGCTGCTTCAATCATGAACTGCATTCTGGACCCTTCAAAAAAAATTAAGCTTCATTTATGGCGAATCAAGATTTAAGGTAGCTAAGAAAATATTAGGGAAAAATGCTCGAAAGCTGACTCCCTGTGCTTTGTTTAAATTTAGTACAAGAAGCAATCTTAAGCCAGAAGCGGTTAATTAAATAGAGCATCGATTAAGCCAACTGTCTGTTTTTATCTGTCCCACTTTTAGGGTCACCGGCGGACAGCTAATTGCAGCTAACCCCATTGGCATTTAGCAAACGGAAAATGCTTCGTGACCGCTGCAACCACATAGCACCACCACCATCCCCACTCGAATCCGCAACCGCACCACTGAATTTGAAGTCATCCCTCCAGTGGCGGCGACAAGCGGCATCTCCGCCAAATGCGGCAGTTGAGGCGCTGGCAAGTAAATAAGCGTAATTTTCGCGTCCACCTTTGCGGGCACGTTCCGGATCCTTTTTGGCTCTCGAAACTAGAAACTCGTAAATATTTGGGGCCTCCTCACCCAAGCCAGTCAAGTCATGGAGGCCATCATCATGACGACCCTGCCCACACTGACAACGGATGCTGGTGACGGCAGCAGCTTTTGGCTAACCGGAGCCCTCTCGCTCTCCGAAATGTTGGCCAACTCGAGCCACGGCCCAAACGGCAGCACATCCTCGGCTGGCGGGAATCCATCGGCGGCGGTTTCCTCGGCGGTGAATGTGGCCAAGGACCACGACAAGCACGTGAATGACAGCGTCTCTACGGGTCTAAGGTAAGCCAATAGCCATACTCGTACCCACATTCGCATCCTCACATATTCCATGCACATGACTGGCTCAACAAGTCATCGCGATAAGCTCGGCTTAATTTTCTAGGACCTGCATTCAACTAAAGTGCTTGGAACAGCATTGTACAACATACGCGTAGTGCAACTGCAAAGGGGAGAATAATCAGATTACTTAAGTGGAGGCTAAAGGATTAAATCGGCATTATCTATTTATCTATTTAATAAATATATTTAAATATTCAAGAAATCGTTAATGCTTGGGCTTTATAAAATTCCGCATCTGTTGACTTTCAATAGAAATATAAAAATATAAATATAAAAATCATAGAACCAATCTCTAAAATTTTTATTCAGATAATCTTAAGTTTTTCAAAAATAGTTAAATCGTCAAAAGCATTTAAAATACGTTTAAAACATTCTAAAATTATTTATTAAGTATACGCATGGTTTCCGGAAGTTTTAAAGCTAAAGAAAGTCGGCAACCGTTGACTTTTAAACGAATCTCTTATATTTTTTAAGCACAAAATCTTATTTTTTTACAATATTTCACTTAAAAAATTTGAAAAATAATTTATTAAGTATACGCCTCGTTGTCTTTGCTTCAGCAATTACAGTTCATACCCCAGCTACATTCACTACCGGGACAAATACGACCTGAGCTACATTGCCAAGGTGAATCCTTTTTGGCTGCAGTTTGAGCCGCCTAAGTCGAGTACCTTTCTGGTGATGGCCGCCCTCTACTGCCTGATTTCGGTAGTGGGATGTGTGGGCAATGCCTTCGTCATCTTCATGTTCGCCAACCGCAAATCACTGCGGACACCGGCCAACATTCTGGTGATGAACCTGGCCATCTGCGACTTTCTGATGCTCGTCAAGTGTCCAATTGCCATATACAACAATATCAAGGAGGGACCGGCTTTGGGTGACATAGGTAAGTAAATGTGGGGATTACTTGGGTAAAGACGAGGAAGAGTAACTTAAATAATTAGGTTCTATTTCTCATCAGCATGTTAAATTAAATGCTGGTATTAAAGCTTTAAATTGTATTGGATTAAGGGAAAAACCGCATTAATTGAATTTGTTTTTTGCTATACCTTTGAATTTGGAATCCGATTTGTGTAAAACTTAAGGAAATAATTTTTGTAATATTTTTTAAAAGTCAAAATAAAGTAAATTCTATAGTATTTAATTAAAGATCAGTGAAACCAATAATTCGCGGTTTGGTAAAAAAAAATCTTCCTGTTGTTCAAAGAGATTGCTTTTCCCGTTTTGTGGTTTAAAATTGAGCTTCCCAAAGAGACTCACTGACTTTCCGCCCGCAGCCTGTCGCCTCTACGGATTTGTGGGCGGCCTAAGTGGCACCTGTGCCATCGGAACCCTCACCGCCATTGCCCTGGACCGCTACAACGTGGTGGTCCATCCCCTCCAGCCGCTGAGGCGCTGCTCCCGCCTGCGCTCCTACCTGATTATCCTGCTGATCTGGTGCTACAGCTTCCTGTTCGCCGTGATGCCGGCCCTGGACATCGGACTGTCGGTCTATGTGCCCGAGGGATTTCTGACCACCTGCAGCTTTGACTATCTGAACAAGGAGACACCCGCCCGGATATTTATGGCCCTGTTCTTCGTGGCGGCCTACTGCATTCCGCTAACGGCCATTGTGTACTCGTACTTCTATATCCTGAAGGTGGTCTTCACCGCGAGTCGCATTCAGTCGAACAAGGACAAGGCCAAGACGGAGCAGAAATTGGCCTTCATTGTGGCGGCCATTATCGGATTGTGGTTTCTGGCCTGGTCCCCCTACGCCGTGGTGGCCATGATGGGAGTCTTTGGCCTGGAGCGGCACATCACGCCGCTGGGCTCGATGATTCCCGCGCTCTTCTGCAAGACAGCCGCCTGCGTGGATCCCTACCTGTATGCGGCCACCCATCCGCGGTTTCGCGTCGAGGTGCGAATGCTCTTCTATGGACGCGGCGTCCTGCGGAGGGTCTCCACGACCCGATCCTCCTATATGACACGATCCCGATCCTCGTTCACCCACCGTCTGCGCAGCAGCAACACCGGCGAGGGGGCCATGGGCGGGGATCACCGCATGGAGACCTACCTGATGAACAACAACCTGATGATGGTGCCCGAGGAGACGGAGGAGAACGAGGAGATCGTCGTGGTGGCCGAGATCAACAATTCGGTGAGCAGTGTCATGGAACAGAGTAAGTTCTGAAGGAATCCCCTGGATGAGAGAAGAATAAAAGCGAGTATTCCATTTAAGAATTGATTTTCATTGTTTTGTAAATCCTAAATAGTCGATTAGCATAGAATTTCATTGTTCATTGAAAACCTTGGTGTATTGTATTCCAAAGTACCCACATATATCGAAATTAATAGATTTATCAATGGAAAATCCGCAATATTATTAAGTCTGATTGAAATGACTAATCATAAATAGTATTGATGGACTCAAGTTTCATTGTTGGCCCAATCCAACTTGTATGTGGAAATAATAGAGACCCAACTGAAATCAGACGGCAGGGCTCAAGCCAAGTAATTTCCCTCTCCAATACCAGATGCCCATGGCATTGTTCAGTTCATCATTCAGGCTGAATGCAATGTCATTGATGGACCTACAATTGAAATGAAAATAATAAATAGAAATGAAGCAGGGAAATCCGCCGAGCAGTGGGAAGTGGACAAGGCGCAACGACAGCAGTGATAGTAAACATATTTAATGAGCTTATGTGATGTTTAGACAACAGAGGGGGGAATACAGAATGGACAGCCGATTCGATATGTGTATATGACAGCGGATAAATAGCAGGCCTGGTCGAAATTAGTACAAAGAAGGGGTGGAGTGAGGGAATTCGAAAGCCAGAATGGTAATTCGATAGCGAAATTATACATAATTTGAGGGCTAAGGTCATGCCCTGGGTATGGAATGACAACAAGCGGATTTGCGAATTGTTTGGATTGTAGTTTAATATTGGGGATAACACAATCACAATGCGGACTTCTTGTATTTCCATTTCAATTCCGATGACAGCCTCGAGTCCTTTAAGTTCTCGTCGAATTAAACTAATTGCGTTCATATCTCAATGTCTAATCCGTTGGCGTATCTGTGTATCTTATAGGTATTATTATTATAGATTGTATACAATGTCTACTCTTAAACCTAACTAAGCAAACGACTTTGATAAAGTCAACGAGTACTTGTACCTGTAAGAATAATACGAAGGAGCGAGGCATTGCAGCTGAGCCAAATATATAACGAATTTATACTCTTGATACTTACTTAGCCGTATCATTTTATATATGTACATGGACGTGTATCGGGGATCCCCGGGCCACAATGGGCCGGAGAACAATGGACAATGGGTAGCGAGCCAGATGAATAAGTCTCGGGCAGCATTTTAATTACTAGAACACAAATTTAAGCCATTGTTGCGACAAACTTGTATATTTCCTTCACTACGTGAACGAACAATGGACACGGCTGTTTGTAACTGTGCTCGAAATGCAGCAATGAAATTGCAGAAAAAATACCCAAACAAAGGGAAAGGAGAAAGCGGGGAAAAACCATTTAATTAGCATATTTAAAATGCACTTTGACAGCCATCTTGTGTGTGCATTGTGTGTGTGTGTGTCTTTCACTTAAGCTGCTTGTATTTAAATTAGTTAAACTCAGTAATTGTTTGACAAGTATAATGTGTACTTATGTTTTCTGTTCTGGCGGTAATGTTCAAAACCAAGAAACTCGAAATAAATGTGCGAAAACTTTTAAATTACCAACGGCGACGCTTTGTTTTTTTTTTCGAAAATAATGGGAAGCCCACCAACCAACAGGTGTAAAGGAAAACTAACGATAGAGTAAATATGGGTTTGTATGAGTGGAGGAGGAGGATCCACGTGAGTCCATTACCTTTCGTTTCGGGCAGCTGATAATGCAATGAGCGGCCACGCCGCGTATACTTAATGTGCAGCGAAAGAAGCCGCATGCATTTCCCGTTATTTTCAGCGCACCCTTCGGCCAGCGGAGAGCGCAGCTGAGAGCGAGAGAGCACGAGAGAGAGCCGGCTACAGTGCGCGCCATGTTTATATGGGCTATCATCTCTCATCAGCTGAGAGCCTTCCCCCTATTTTGTTGTTAGGAAACATGGGCCAGACAACGACGCCGGCGCCGGCTGCCAAGACAAGAGCAAAATTTCACACGCAGCATAACAATAATTTCAGTCGCGTTTTTCACGACCCGCCCGCGGTTGTTGTTTCAACAAAGTTTCCTCTATTTTTCCAAAAAAAAAAAAGGAAAACCAAATAAGTGTTTTTTGGATTAGTTTAAACAAAAGTGTACTTATCGCATACACACACATACCGGAGAATTCGGACTGCCCGTTGAGGAAGTGTGGAAAACGGAAAAGCCGGCGAAATAAAAAGGTTTTCCCTTCGCCAGCATCCCGGTGAACCCAGCCCAAAGAACTTCCAACTGCCGCGCATTAGGTTCGGTTCGCTTTTATGTACCCATTTTAGTATTTTAGCGCTTTGCCTAATTGCATTTCGATTTTCCACGGTTTTTCACGGAAGGAAAGTGCCCTTATTTTTCCATCGTAATTCATCTGTGTGCAATTGCACTTCGAGATATTCCATTTAATTCGGTTTAGTTCCGAATGTGTGCTCGTGTGATTGTGTGTATGTGTGCCTGATGCCCAAATAAATATTGACTAAACAAACGCCCGGCAGGCCATGTTATTGCTGGCGATTTATCTCAGTGCAAACCCAGCCGCCCACATCGTTTACAGGGCTGTCTGGAGTAATACACGCTCCCAGACTGGCATACACTGAGCAAAAGAGAGTGCATAAAAATATTAATTTAATTTAAAAATATTAATTCAAATCGAAATGGTTTAAATATGAATATAAGTAATGTAAATTTTTAATAGATTGATTTGAAAGATTGATAGTAATGAAATAAAAACATATAATAGCAGTAATATTAAAGTCATTGTTGTATTAGATTGTCTTGTTATATACAATTTTTATACCCTTGCAGAGGGTATTATGATTTCAGTCAGAAGTTTGCAACGCAGTGAAGGAGATGTCTCCGACCCCATAAAGTATATATATTCTTGATCAGCATCACAAGACGAGTCGATCTAGCCATGTCCGTCTGTCCGTCTGTCCGTCCGTCTGTCCGTCTGTCCGTCTGTCTGTCTGTCCGTCTGTCCGTCTGTCCGTCTGTCCGTCTGTCCGTCAGTCTGTTTCTACGCAAACTAGTCTCTCAGTTTTTGAGCTATCGGGACGAAACTTTCGCAAAAGTCTTCTTTCTATTGCAGGTAGTATATATGTCGGAGCCGACCGGATCGGACAACTATATCATATAGCTCCCATAGGAAGGATCGGAAGAAAAAAACTTTAAAAAATTCTAGCTTCGGTGTTTTTTGAAATATTACCTTCTACTTTTGGGGATGTTATTTTTTAAATATTTCTGAATTTCGAATTAATTATTTAAAAAATCGGACACTATATCATATAGCTGCCGTAGGAACGATCGGAAAATTAATGGAAAAGTAATAGGAAATAAATTCTAGCTTCTTTGGTTTTTATTGTATTATCTTCTACTCTAGGATATAACTCTTTTTAAATATTTCCGAATTTCAATTTTAATTTGATCAAAATCGGACGACTATATCATATAGCTGCCATAGGAACGATCGGAAAATTAATGAGAAATATTAGAAAATTGAACATTTTTGCGATTTGTTAATTAATAGGAATGATCTGCAAGGGTATATAAGCTTCGGCTGGCCGAAGCTAGCTTCCTTTCTTGTTTTATATTAAAATTACTTTGTTTTTAAAAGTTCGATTTTTTTATAAAGATTTAATTTTTATGAGCCTTATTCAACTTTTCTAATAATAATAATAAAAAACTAAAATATTTGTAATATTATATTCACCATAGTAAAATTCAAATATAATTTTAAGATCTTCTTCAGAAAATTAAATTTGTTTTGATAAGTTAGAATTTTTGTATTTCCATTAAATTGTACTTTTTATCAATGTTTATATACTTCAATAGTTTTAAATCTAGTCTAGTTCGATGACTTCTATGCCAACTATTCCCTAGTTTATTGATCTGAAATATTTTTCTCTTCATGTAAACACTATTAAAATGCTCGTCTGTGCTCATGTGCCCATGTGTTTATGTATCCACCTAGATACGAGCAGCAATTCGGGTTCGAGTGTTGCGTGTTTACAACATTCGACTTCCTTGCATGCTCATCACTAGTTCGCCTATCACCTGCGATTGCAACGGCTATTAGGGTCGTGTGCCTGTGTCTGAAATTTATTCTCAAGTTTGGGAGCCACATTTCCATACCATCCTCGAAACTCTATTCTTACACGACTTTCAGACAAAGTGTCTGGCGTACTCCAGCAAAATGCCAACAACGAAAACATCAACAGCAGCCCGAATGACAATTGAAAGGGACACAAATGAGCATGCAAAGAACGCCACTCTACTCGGCATAGACGACGAGGATTTCCCCGACCCCATTTTCCTCCCCCAACCCAACACCTCGCTTACTCACCCACATTACTCATACGACGCGTTGCCCGTGCGACAAATACTTGTACAACAATGCGGCTCAAGTGACGACGCGACGACTGTTGACAGCTTTACCGTCACTCAGACCGAGTTCCAGTTGAAATGGTTGTTGTTTCCATGGCCTGAGGTGTTGTTTACACACAGCCTTTGGGAGGATTGTGCACGCGATTTGAAAGGGGGCAACTATCTGGGATAATGCTCAGTCAGAATAGCAAGTGTTTGATTTAAAACCCTCAAAGTTCGCTGTCAGAAAGAAAATTTATAAATGACTTGTAATGTAATTCCAAAGCTGAAAAAGAGTACTTTCCGTTCATTGACTATATAAAGCCGCGTGGCTTTCAGTTGATTGTGTTTTTCCTTAAAAAAATATATTACAAACGCCAATAAATTTATTCATTGCGGTCTTTGCTAGAAAATAATAAAGCACACATATGTTAACGTAAAAGTAATTTATTCTCCCTGCGAAATCGATAAAAATCAGAGAAAGTTGATTTTATAACAACCATTGGCCGAAAGTTCATAAATAAAAACCAAAAGTTTTTTTTATTTGTAACATCTGATAAAACAAATTCACAAAAAAAAAGTTTTACTCAAATTAAAGCACGTTGAAGCATGATTTTATTCGCCACCGAATACATTAAATTTTTCGTCTTGTCCCTTCCTGACCCAAATTGATATAATAGGAAATGAAAGTTGGCTGGCTCCTTCCGCATGAGTTCATACCTTTGACAAATCAGGGGTCTTCCTCACACACATTTATTCATTTTTCTGACACATTTAGCAGACCCGCATAAATTCTCTTCCAGCTGCCGAAAGTTCCGGATATTGTTTATACGATACTTACAACGTTCCGTTCCCAATTTGAAATTCATATTGTATGCTGCACTGATTCCACTCTTGTGCTCCAGCTAAGTTTTCAATACAATGCTCCTGATTTCCACCGTGACGTCAATTGTAAACGCTTGCTTCCATTTGGCGTAGTTCTTTTTCATTTGGCTTGGCTTGGCTGGTTTTTATAGGGCGGTGTGGTGCAACAAAAGCAAGTCGGGAGCCGAAACAGCAGCGGCAATCAAAACAAATCGAAATACTTTTTTCACTGGCAGCTGCGCATCGCAGGGCGATGTATTAATTAAGTTGAGGAGCAGCCGCGCACAGTACTCGAAGTCTACTTTTACTTTTTTTTGCCCTTCCTTCAGCTTGGCTATATTATTTTCAGTAAAAATTTAATTAAATATAATGTCAGAAACAAAATAAATACAAAGTTTAATATGACCCATTTTATTTTCCTCTTAGTTATTTTCTAAGTTATATCCCTACACTAAAATCTTTACTTATACATTTTAGTTTATATCTACAATTTCATAAAAATCTTTAAAAATATAAAGCTTTTTAAGGTTTTTTTTCAATTTTGTCTGATTGAAAAGGATAACATATTTTGGAACGCTCCCTTAAAGGATCTCATATATTTGTTCCTTTGCTATAGCTACACATTTGACCAAGTTCCGCTCTTGTAAAATTTATTCATTTATTTAAATGTGCGTTATTTCTTCGTATATGAAAACTACTCTATCTTTGTATTTTAAATTTTAGTCTCGATTGCAGTTGCTGGTTTTCCCAGCAGCATGGCTATACCATCCCATTCCCGTTCCCATTCCCATTCAGATTCCCATTGAGGGGCTGGCTCTTCGTGTCCGCTTTAATGACCGCTCGCTTTGCTTTTTGATTTTTTGGCAGCCGTAGCTTCTCTTGGAATGCCATTCACCGTGCGTAGACCCATCCTTTTGCCCCTTTTTCCCAGCCTCTGCCCCTGCAGCACATGAATGTATAATTGCATCATTTTTGGGCACAAGTACCCGAGGATGACATTCAGTCGGTCACTCGGCTGCAGTTGCATTCGCTATCCCATTCGCAGTTGTATGCAAATTTGAATGTGAGTCCACGATGCGTCAACCGACAGGCCTTCTCTGGGATAATTTAAAAAGCACACCGATGCATCGCAGAATGAATTGGCTGGGCGCCCCTTTTTGTTTATTTTCATAACTATGCAAAACAGAAATAAAACATTGGCCGAAAGCAAAATACTGAAATATTTACATATAAACACAAACATCTCATCGATTGGGTAATTTTTCAGTGATAATAAATTTCGGGCAAAACTTTTCGTTGAAAACTTTAATTTAATGTTTGTTTAATATTTTGTTCTGCGAAATATTTATCCCGTTATATTCATTGCTTTTTTTAGCAAAGTTCATTACGCGCAAGTGATAATTGTCAAGTTGAGTAAATATAATTTATAATTGTTTCAATTTGCATAATTTAAATGTGTACAGAAGTATAAATCAATGCAATTTAAGTTGACTTCATTATAATATATGACTTGGGACAATTTGATTAATTTGTACCGAAATCACATGTATGTCAATGGTGAATACATTACTGGCAAAATGTTCATTGTTCAATGCAATGGAAAACCCCAGTCAATTTATTTTTCCTTATATGGAACCTTACGAATAATATTCTTGATTAATAACTACATCTAATTGAGGAATAAATTACACAAAGAGGGTTTGGAAGGTAATTTAATGACACCTTCCGGACATTGTAGGTCTATTCAAAGAATTTAAGTAACTAAAGGTAAAAATACATATCGATATATGAAAGTGCCCCCTAACCGTATATAATGCCTTATATTAAATTCCATTTAATTAATTGCTTAGATACGCACATTTTAATTTACCAACCAATTATTTGGCATTTTTCTCGCTTTTAATTAATTAATAAATAAAAGCTTGCTTGGCAACTTTCAATTCTTCACTATAATAGAACGTAATGACCTGTGAACTTTGAGTGGAGCAAGAAGGTCGTTCACGGAGCCAGCAAAGGATATAACATTAGCCAGTTAGCCAAATCGGTATTATAGAAAATGTTTGACATCACCTGGCTGCCCACCGCCTGCGGATCGCTGGCTCCGGCCCTCATCCCGCCGGCACACATCGTCATCCTGTGGTATTTCTGGGAGAACTACGCCCGGTACGTGGACAGGCACTTCTGCACCTGCTCCTGCTGGGACACCGTGTTCAAGGGACCCTACGAGTCGGGCGTGGCCGCCTACAAGCACATGTACTTCAATGCCACGCCCAACAGCTTCAAGATGTGGATACTGACCGTCTTCGCCGTGATTGCCCTGTACGAGTGCATCAAGAGGCTAATCGCCCTGATCCTGCAGCAGCGCGTGCGGTACTCGATGCTCCTGCTCTTCCTGCTCTCGATATTCTCGCACTACTACGCCTGGTGGGCGTATATCAACTACTACAACGACGACTACTACAATCAGTGGAATCACCAGCTCTTCTTCACGGTGAGTGGTAAACTAGTACACTGGAAACAAAAAAAAACTAAATTAATGAAAACTCAATTAACTAAAATAGAGGGCAAGAACATTTTAAAAAATTAAATTAATAATACTTTAAAATTGACTAATATGTGAGATTATTGAAACTGTCAATAGTCATCAAATAATATACTATAAATTATCCTATAAATATCATCATTAAAATGTATTTATTTAAATATATTTCAAATACTTTTCTTAATTAACATATTATAATAATAGTGATAATAATATAAACAACAAAGATTACATATCAATATATATTTAGCATATGTGCTCTATTTGTTTTTTTAAAATTAAAACAACATTTTCTACATTTTTTTATACTACGACTTAAGTTATTTTCAATATCAATGAGTTTTTGGTTTATATCGATATTGGTTTAATTTTTCTCCGTGTATACATAGTTCAAATTGCAACTTACAAGTCAATGTCAAATATTGCAACTACGTGCGGCCATATGTATGAGTCCTAAGCCGGTTACCGGCCATCCATAATTTATTGGCAAAGTTCGTCCTGCGCGAGTGCGCTCAAAACTTGCACAATATGCGCTCCAATTCGAACACTTTTCGCACTTGCCCCGTAGATAGCCATATTCATGGAAATAGAAGTATGGCAGAGTAATAAGTTTCGAGAGCAAATCCATCCATCCAACCGAAAGTTTAAACTCAAAAGTTTAGCCCTGCTAATGAGCAAATCGCCATTCTCGTGGCAAATACCCAGTGGTGGGCTGACCCAAAAGTGCAAAATTAAAAGCGCCAAGAGCTAAAATTGTATACAACAAGTATGCCTACGGTCAGCTGAAATTAAATTGTTTTTATTTTCCAGTAAATTGAAGTTTCGGTCTTGAATAAAAAATAAATACTTAACTAACAAGTTATGGAATATTTTCAATTTCAAATACTATTCTGTTAAAATTTTTAAAAAACATTAACAATTTATTAAAGTATTTTATAAATAAATTTATATATTTTATAATATTTTTCTTCGATGCACAGATGTTTTTTTGGTATTTTAGGATTTTAGGATGGTAAAAGAGTACCCGTTGATTCATTAGTTTTTTAGAAAGTTAGTCATAAAGAAATATTGTACATTTTTGGCAAACTTGAATTCCATTGTCTTTCTATTTTATAAACATATTTCTAACTATTTCCTACAGGTAACCGAGTTGTTCTCAACGGTGCTGGTGATGCATTTGGCCAACACCACCAACGTGGTCACGCCGAAGAAGGTCTTTTGCATCGTTGGCATCGCCCTGCTGCACATTTTGGCCAGCAGCTTCGACCAGTTCTTCATGAATGTGGTGCGCGGCGAGGGATACGCCCACCAGATAGTCCGGGATATCGGGTTCATGGTGCCCGATCTGCTCCAGCTCTTCGTTCCCGTTTGGCTCCTCCGGCAGACCCGACGCGAGAGTTACACCACACGACCTTTTCACCGAGATCGGAAACTCCATCGGGATATTGTGATGATGCTGTGCCTGGTGTCGCTGCTCTTTGTCATTTGTACGGTTTTGTGAGAGCGGATCATGCTGGACGCCTATGAGGAGCGACACGGAAAGGTCGTGCCCATGCAGGATGCAGCGGTGCAGCTGCTGAATCGCTACCGGATGCTGGCCAGCGGAAATGTGCACAACTAGAAAAGGTGATTGCTTTTGGTACTGATCGGATGGATTGTGGGTGGACAATAGCGGCACTTACGGGGCAGTAAGTGCGGAATATCCTGTATTCCTGTAGACATTTTGTATTTTCGTTTACCGTTTGTGATAGTTTTTTCCGTTGAGCCGAAGTGCGTTGACGACGAGCATATCGATAAGCGTAATTATCAACTAACCATGGTACATAATCAATACAACAAACTCTAATCTTCCATTTAGAACCGTTGACCGATGTTAAGTGCATTATCATACACCCATAGTTGAACTTAGGTACAATGTAGTGAAATCCAGTCCTGGGCGTCCCAGAATCATACGTGTAGAAGGGTATAGCCCCTAATATATAGATACAACGACAAACAGTTATCACAGACATGTGTAGATTATTTATGGAACAACGATGCGAATACTTAATATTGAGTATGGATTGTGGAAGTGTGTGGAGACCCACCCAGTGTTATATTACCTTAACAAGTTACATGTGACTTAGACTGTTGTTAGATAATAACAATATTATACATGTTCATCATGGCAAACCAAAATATTCCAGTACATCTAGTAGTGAAACCACAAAAAAAACAGAATATAACAACAAAAAACCAAAACCGTAGTAATCAAAATTAGCGTTATACTATATTGTTACGATTAACTTTACATGAAGGAAATCAAAAACATGCAGATATTAATATTTGGAATAGCCTATACTTATACACATATATATATTTTAGTATACAAAATTATATTGAATAAACGTTAAGAGACTGAATATCCAGTAGTTTCCTTAGAGTTCCGAAACGGTGAGTTCAACACAACCTGTTCAATTATTCGTAGTTCTCTTTTATTGAAAGATAAAAATTTTAATTTTTTCATTGTCTCTTTTTCGTAATTATATATATATTTTTATATTGCTATATATATCTATATACACACGCTAATGTATATTTGCAAATTTCAAGTCAAGACGTTCAAAATGTATTTTCCAAAAATACAATTTGCTTTTAATGTTTTGTGTTTTACTAAAGTAGCCGATTTTGTTTAGCCACAAAATGATTTTATATTCTTTTGTGTGTAAATTAGAAGACATTTTAAATTAAACGTATAGCGAGAAAACATATTAATAATAATGGAATGTTCGTTCTTACATACTCGCGCGATAAAAATACAAATAATTGGCGGCTTTCGTTCAGCTGCTCGGGTGGCAGCCTAAAATAAGTTTTTAACTTAATTTCGCAAACAAAGTGTTCATAAAATTAACTAAAAATGGACGGTATTCGGTGACTATTGAGCGATGTCAATAGTAAAATAAGGTGAAATGCCGTCAGACAGAACCAAAGAAAATTAAAAGAAAACATTTAAAAATTCAGCCAGCCAATTTAAAATCAAAACTAAGCAATCACTTGCGCAAAACAAATGGCAGTGCATGGAAAAGTTGAAACATTTTCTGTCTGTAATACGTTGTGGGCCTTCTCCGTGTTGGTTTGATTTTCATTATGTTTTCATCTTTTTTGTTTTTTTTTGGTGAGTCTGAATCGTCGCGGTTGCGTGTCTAAGGCGATTTTAAAACGATTTGTGTGCATATTCTTGCGACAGGTTTAGATAAAGATCTCCGTTCGCTTCCTGACTTGATGGCCAGTGGTTGAGTGCAGGACAGCGTCATCAGGATCGTCGGCGCCATCGGCACCTTGATCCTCGTGCGTCAAATAGTCGCCTTTGTGCCGGTGCAAGTAGCGACCGATGAGGAAGAACATAAGGATCAGCAGCAGGAAGAGAATCACTAGCAGACCTAAAATTCATACATTTATTGTTAATTCGTTTTTTAACTGTAGCAGAATATTTTCACTTACATGCCAGCAGCACAGAGTCCACTTCGTTATATGCCTTGCGCAACTTCTCCTCGTCCACTAAAGGTGGTGGCCTAGTCTCAATTTCAATAGGTGGATGCGTCACCGGTTCAACGCCGCAGAAGTCTTCTGTCAATTGGGCTATACCAAAAAGGATTGGTTAATATTTTCGCTCATCTTTTGTTAACCTTTAATACTTACTGCCCAAAGACTTCACATTCTTGGGTGGATTCTGCTGGAACATCAGCTTCAGGGGATAGATATCATCGAACTGAACTCGCGACACACAACCCACGAAACCATCCGTCATAGATTCATTTTTACCAATGTACATATACTGAATATTGTTGAACTGAGCATCCGCTGAGGCTTTGATATCGAAGTTATACTCCACTGGCTCATAGTTGTCCACCTTCAAGACCACTGTGGATCCACTATTTTTGCGCATAAAGTGCATGTCGTGGTACTGACCCAGGCCAAAATGTTTTTTGGGGAATATGATCTCCTGTCTCTCGAAGCCAAAATCAAATACGCAACGCAAGTGTCCTAGAAAAAGGGTTAAATTTATAAACTAATTATAAGTAAATTAATTAAATCAATTTACCAGAATTCGATATCTGAATGGTCAGATATTCGCCAGTTAAATTCGAGGAGAAGCCAAGCAGAAAACCCTTTGGAATGGTGGTTGTAAAGCCGACGCGAATGTTCTCGGCAATTGTGGAGCGGAAGGAGCCCTCGAACTCGTAGCGAATAATCGAGCTGGAGCGCAAGTTGACACCAATCTCTGCAATAAGTGAATGCAAATTAAATAAGATACAATCAAGGATAATTCCATTAACCCACCATCTGCACAAATGGGTCCTTTGAATGCACTCCAACGGCAATCGCAGCTGTAGCCATCGTATCGCTCGATGCAAGTGCCATTGTTCAAGCAAGGACTCGACTCGCAGCGACCCACGCAACCAGTGCTGATGCCATATAATCCACGCTTCGAGTAATCCTTCAGGTCAACCATCTTTCCGTTAAGCAACAAAGCACGAATGCAGCCCACATAGCCATCGCGGTACTCAGTGGTGGCGCCAATCACCAGATCCGAGGTCAAGTGCAGGGCACGCACTGGACCTGGGGGCTCACGGACCTCAGCCTTGATGGAGCCATCCACCACCAGGCGAGCCTCCTTCCTGTTGCGCTCCACACTCACCGTGTGCCAATTGTTGTCGTTCAGGTGATAGCTGGTGCCCACATTAACGCCCAACGGCCCGCTGCCGGCTTGATACTGGAACTGCAGCTTATTGCCGCCATTCAGACTTAGCTTGATGTAATCCGTAGGTCCAGTTGCATGGAAGAGCACCGAGTTCTCTTGTGTAGTGCGGAATTCCAGATAAATATCCCCCGAGTGGCCCATATCGAAGGGCGGCAGGTTAATCGAGGCATCGGCAATGCGGAAGGTGACCACGTTGCTGAATAAATCATCGCCCTCGCAGCGCAGCGGTCCCAGAGTATAACGACCCATTTTCTCGTCCAACGGAGTGCCAGTATCACCAAACTTTACAGCTCGCACGGGAAGGTACTCCTTCTCCCGGATATCGCCACCATCCTCCATCCATTCCAGGCTGTTCGAGTCACAGTTACACCACTTGGTGGGATCATGGCACTTGCTCAGAATGCCACACTCGCACTTGCGAGATCCTGGCAGAGCTCCGGCCCAATAGTCCATGGGTTGGTTGTGCCGAGAGATCCACCAGGAGAAAGGACGGAAGTTTCCTGTCTCAGCTGGTTGATAAATTGAATTATAAAACTGATTTCAGCTAACAAAACACATCGCAACTCACATGGCGAATTGAAGAGTCGGGAGGAGCGGCAGGAGTAGCTTAGGCGCTGCCAGCAGCTGTGGGAACGATTGAGCAGAGCTTCGATTTGCAGCTGATTGGCATCGTACATGATGGACTGTTCAAAGGAGCCCGGCTCCTGGAAGCCATCAACAGTTGTGGTGTGCTCTTGACTGTGGCTAAGGGTGGTAATCACACGTCCATCCGCTGCGGAAAAAATAAATCAAACTCATCAATCAATGTCATGCATTTATGAAATTACACAATATATTTTAAACCGTAAAACAAAAGTGGCTGTTACTACATGTTGTTGAAGATAATAGAATTTGATTGATGATTTATTTGTCTAGCTCAACAGTTTGTCATATTAATCTGATCAAAAAGTTACATTTAAAAAGAAAAAAACCAAACTTTTATTTGGAAAAGTTTAATAAATACTTGAGCCCTGCATGAATGGATTCAGTACATTTTTTTGAATTTTTTGTTTTATATCGAATTATGAGTTAAATAGAATTGAATGAATGAGTGGCATGAATTCCGAAAAAATTCAAACGACAATTTCTTTTGGAGAAGAAAGGGCCATAATTTTGTGATTAAATCTGATTAAGAAACCACTAAAAAAAATCTGGCAAATTCAAAAAAATTTTAAAAATTATTCATTTATTCATTCAATTCGAAATGAATTAGAAAAACATTATATTTATTTCACATAGAATTGAATTAAACAAATCAGAAATTTCATCGCATATGATAAAATAAAAATTGAATAATTCACGCAGGGCTCTAATAAATACTCACAGTAAAATTCGCAGGTGACTGGGAAAGGTTCCAGCGGACCACTGCCATCCACGTCAAGGTTCAGATTGACACGCTGCTGCACATGCTGGACATTCTTGAGAGCCAGGCAGGAAAGCGGGTTGTTGGCTAAACACAAAATTTAAATAATAAGTAAAAATATTATTAAGTAACTAAGTAATGGCAAACTCACAAGTATGACAAACAGCTCCGGCATAGCCAGTGTGCGCGCAGTCACAGAAGAACTCCCGGGAGTTCTGGTGGCAAAGACCCTTGTGCTGGCAGGGATTCGGATTGCAGCGATCGATCATCTGGCAGGCATCCACGACGACATCATCACCGCAGCAAACCTCCTCGCCCTTCACCCAATCCTGGGGTAACTTGTAGTTGCCGTCCACCGAAATCAACCGCATGCAGCCGACGAAACCGTTCTTATCCTTTCCACCAGCTATGTAATACTGAGCTCCGGTGGCAATCTGCAGACTCTTCGTTGTGGTCATCGGTCGCTGGTCAATGTTCAGTATCAAACGATTCTTTTCGATGGAGATCACAAACGAATGCCATTTGCCATCATTGAACTGTTCGTCGTAGTTGTCCAAAATGATACGCGCTTTATCCTTGACCTTCAGATCAATCTTCACTTTTCCAAACTCCAGAAAGACCTTCAGGTAGCCACCGGAGTAAAAGTCGTGGTGCAGCATATTTCCAGTTTCCTCGTAAGTACGGAAGTAGAAAGATACATTCAGGCGCTGAGAGTTTTCATAGCCCTTCAAGCGGACATACGATGAGCGGGTGGTGAAGGTCACCGGATAGATTGGAGGCGAAGGACACGCGTAGATGGTGTTCACCCTGGTGAAAAGATATCCCTCTCCGATCTCGGTGCTGTCCTTCATCACCCGAATAAAGTTGGTGGAATTGAAGTAGATGTTTTCCATGCAGCCGGAGAAATTCTGCTGGACAATCAAGCCCTCCTGGACATTGGGCACACCGCCGAGGTACAGCTCCCGATTGAGATTCAGCCGACTGAACTCACCCTGGATGCGTCCCCTTACGATAACGCGATCCACTGAGAAGATAATGTCCCGCTGGTTCCGCGAGATCACCACATCGTGCCACACATTGTCGTCCAGCAGACTGCCCACCGACAAGGAGGTCATCACCTTGGATCCCAGATCCAGATTCAGTATCATCTTGTTGTCCTTCAGCTGCAGGGCATAGTAATCGCCCTGGGTGCCGCGCGAATACATCATCACTCCGTTGGCAAAGGCCGTCTTGAAGCGGAAGCGAATGGACTCTTTCAAGGAGGAGATGGGCTCCCGTCTCAAATCGTAGCGCACCAAGCCAGTACCATTGAAGTACAGGTTCTCAGAGACTGTAAGGAATATTTTTTTATTTTAGAAATCTATTTATGCAATTAGAAAACCTTTACTCACTGTAATCGCAGCCGTAGAGCTCCACACGCATAGAAATACGATCGTGCCACCTGGTGGGATTAATCCTCACCCACTGGGCGATAATGGGCACTTCGAAGACGTTGTAGTGAATTGAGTTGCCATCGGAGTTGCCCTTGAACATCTGTGATGGATAACAAAGATATGTTTAGATACAAGCATAATAATAAAAGTTATCAGTGCAAAGCTATAACCAAAAGCATTAAACCTTCGCCATAAATAGTGATTTTTTCTTAGTCTTAGCCTAGGGTTAGTCACAGTACCTGCGGCTCGCTCGTGGGATTCACGTATGAGCGCCAGAACTCGCCGTCGTCCGAGTACTGGACAATGTACTCCGTCACGAACTCATCCGTGTGCATGCGTCCCATGGTGGCGATCTTGCGCACCATGCGCGGATCCCCCAAATCGAGTGTTAGAAAGTGGTTATAGGTATTCTCGACCGGTGTCCAAGCAGCGTTACCTGCACAAGGTGCATTTACCAATCTAGTTAGTCGCAGTGTGTCAGAGTGTAGAGAAGTATATGGGTGTTTTGTAAAGGAAGTGAACTACAGAACTAATGGACAATAAAACATATAGGCAGTTGCATGCGGGACGGATTAAATCATAAACAAAAAACCAAGCACAAAAGCAAGCATAGTTTTAATGGATTGGTGCAATGATAATCGGATTACGAAGATTAAATGATTTCCCAGCCACCAAATTGGTTTTTACACGGAGAAAAAAACGTTTATATTTTTCATTTACTAATTATTTTGAAATTATTTTTTTCGTATCTTTTTAAATGTATACAATTTTTTTTTATGAACAATATCCCTTTACCAGAAATTTCTATATAACCACAGTATATTTTTATCAATATGAAATGATTTAATATTTAAAAAAGAAACAAATTAAATCTATTATATTTTTTTCCGTGCATTAAACCACCACCATTGGATTAGAGACACATTCGCAATTTCATTCGAGTTCGATTGTTTACCTTGACATTGCCGCCCGGCTCTTTATAGTCGGCAAACTCTAGATCGGTTATGCCATAGCTAATGGTGTATTCGGTGACGTACTCATTGCTATGGGGTCGTCCTTGCAGGGCGATGTGCGTCACGTTTCGCACCACGCCCAGGTCAATAATCAGACGCTGGTCGAAGTCCGAGTTCTTCGCGGACCACGAGGTGCCAGCTGGGTTCGCAAATGGTCATGGGATGATGGGCAATAAAATAAAAATGATACAATTTAAACCAAAACAAAGGCAACATAAAATCAACTTAAAGGGAGGTCTATCCTATAAATATAATTGCCCAAAACTGTGAGTTTAAAATTGCCCAAAATCTAAATCTCCGGGGGTGTTTTCAATTAATAAACCATAATTTAGGGGCGATTCCGATTGACAGCTGCAAGTGGTCGAGGTCCTTCAGATCGCGGTGTTCAACCCCTGCCGAAAATTTAAAAAGGATCGCGTAATCCCGAGGGTTCAGTTGGTGTCAACACAAAATGGGAGAGCTCTTCAATGGCTGGGCATTAACAATCGCGACCGTTCGCCTTTGTTTTAATTGCAGAGCGCGCCAAATTGCAAGCAGGTGTGACAAAATAGTGTGAGAAAGTCCCGACTGCAGGGATTTCGCTTGGCCAAACCCATTCCCCAATATTTTTTCTTGTTCCGCATTAAAGTTTCCTTTGTCCCGCGTTGGCAACGTGCATATCAGCCAGCCAGCCATCGGGTTCCCATCGATAAAACTTTCGGGAATGCCAAAAATAATTCAAATAAACGAGCCATGCCGAGCTACCCTTGCGCATAAATGTCTGGGTCCTGTCTGAGTCCCATTACGGGTTCCTAAATTTCGGTTTATGGCCTTTTAAGCATATTTCCGGCTTCGTTTCGTGGAGTTTGTTTATCCAGTGCCAGGCAAACAAACGAGGTTTTTTTGGGGGGGGTTGCGCGGTTACATGACAACACAAGGATTACAAATTATTCAGAATTGGGAACACAACTATTGAAAAAATATAAATGCATGTTTATTCTAGAGATAACAAATCTACTTTTCTATGATTCAATTAGATCCTTTTAGAGGCAAGGCTATCATACAATTTATTATATATTTTATGATCGTTTGTAGGGCTTAAGAAGAGCCTTTTCACAGTAGCTGATAACTTCCTCCAGCTGTGATTCCGGACTTGGTAATAGGATATCCTCCACCCTAAGGAACTGGAACCTTCCATGAACCATTGGCAAGCAATTCCGGAATGCTATGGCTGCGCAGTAATCCTCCTCCTGCAGTAAATGCTCCTCGAAATGCCAGTTCTCCATGGCTTCTCCATGGCAACGCAGACTGGTTCCGATCAGGGGGGAAACCTTAGAGTCCAGGCAACTAGTGGTGTCCACGGAAAAGCTGATCTTCTCCAGATCCACCGTGATGCCAACGCCCAGCTCCTTGACGTAGGCCTCCTTGAGGCACCAGTGACGCATGAAGGCCTTAATTTGCTCCCTCTCATCCTGCTGGGGTCTTCCAATGTAGCTCCATTCCTGGGCCGAAAACTTGCCCTTCATCAGGCGAAAGAATTCCGACAGGGACTTGCCGCCGCTGTACTCGATCTTCATGACATCTGTGCCGATTCCAAAGTCCGGATCGCTTTCCTCGCCCGTAATCCCCGCCAGGAGAACCAAGCTTCCCTGGTGAGAGACATTGAAGCTGAGAGGTGGCCCCTCGTAATCCTCCCTCATCCAATAGGGTTTTCCCCGCACATCCCGGGCGAACTTCACTTGGTGCGCCGGCAATCCACTGCATGTGCTCACATATTTCCGCATCAATAGGCGGCCAATTAGCGAGGACAGAAAGTCGTCGATGAAGTGGAACTTCATGAGGCGAACGCGTTCCTCCGGTTGAACGGAGGCCACCGCCTGAGTCAGTTGAGGAAGTGTGGGCCTCCAGCTGCCCAGGTCAAAGGCCCAGCGGGTGCAGATGTGTTTGCTCATTTTGATGCCGTCTTAAACTATCTAATTGCTTTTACACTCATTGTTTTTGGGGCGTTTTCGATCGGCAATGTTTTCGCTAATTCGCTATTGTATCTCGGCAATATGGCCGAAAGTGGTAAGGGTAAAAATCCCACAGCGATTACGCCTTATAAATATACCGCAAAAATACTGCGCTACAAAATTCAGCTGTGTTCCCGTTTACAGTTTCGATTATGGGGTAATTTGGAGTTTTAAAAAATATTTTTATAAAACTATATAATAAACTTTCTACAAACTCAATAAAAGTAAAAATTCTTAATTCGAAAGGTTGGGGGTCTGTACTTAGCTAATAGTTCTATTTATTTAAAGTCAATTTAAATAAAAACGCATTTTAAAGGGTTTGGGCTGCATTTTAAAATCATAATTGCTAATTAACTGAAAGGCAACTCAACTAACACAAAGCAAAAATCATATAAAAATCAATGAATATTACTCACCGTTTAATCGGGCTTTTTCGGGTCCTCGTTCTGTTAGTGATGATGTTGCCGTGAGGACGGCTCTTTCCAAAAGCGGCTGATTGCACTCATAGTCGGAGAAATAGTCCGTAAATGCGTCTGAAAAAAAAACCATATCGATCTATAAATATCCAGAAATCCATGACCCATATTCAATTGTACATTGTTCAGGGGAAAAGTGAACGCAAACTGTCACGGGCGTAATTAAAATTGAGATATGAAGAATCTGCTTGGAAGGCGGCCAATAATTTTAAGTACTTCACTCGGGCCATAATCATTCCAGTGGCCTCTTTTTATGGGGCCATAAATAAAGCCACATCAATAAGAAAAAAGTAAACAAGCCAAGTCCCCTGACTGAAGGGTAAATATCTGGCATATAGCTGGAAATCCTCAATTCGTAGAAATCTAGGAAAATTTTTTTATTCATGAGATGAATACAAATTGCTTGTAATGAATAAATATCATATAAATAGTTTCGAAACAATTGATTCTTTAAATGAAATTCCTTTAAATTCAGCTAATAAGTACAAATTGGCTAGTTCCAGATTTAATCTCTTAATTTCCTACACTACTGAGGTTCTACTGTGCTCTAAAGTGCAGATTCTTGTCTCATATTTGCACCATAATATTGCTGTTGACGAGAGTCTTTTGGCCCCCAGGATCCGTGACAAGAATGTGCGGATGGTTGTGGGGAAAGCAGGTCGTGTCGGAAATCCAGACAATTGCCCCTGTCTGTTGCAACCCCCAAGAAATGTGTTTTATAATGGGTGCAGCAGGAGCTCCTAGGCAAACACACTGGGATTTCTGGTGGGGGTTAAGTAAAAACAACCCTTGCGAGGTCATCGCGGAGTTCGTGAGCACTTTAAGCTGACTTTGAGCCTTGGGTGGAGTGGAAAAAATCAACCTGATAAGCCCGAAAGGAAACGGAGCGAAACACGCACGACAATTTCTTGGTAAATAATATATATGGGAACTTTGGGGAGCAGCTAGTTTGAACTACTTTTTCGATACTTAATGGCCAACTCTACTGGTGATTAAAAAGTACAGAAATCTGGCTAATGTTCTCAATGAAACAAATATGACGAGGTCTGGAAAGGCCATTTCCGCCGATCTCGAAGAAACTTGAAGTGCGAATGATGCTATTTTCGGGGCAATAAGAGCTGAAATAAATTATGGAAATCGACCAAAGACTGAGGATATATGTCGGTTGTCTGCTTTCGACGCTTCAAGGCGTGAAAGTGGCAAACTAATTGCGTGGCATTGTTTATTTTTAGTCATAAAAATGTTTGCATACGATCAGTGGATTGTTTATTTTTCAAGATATGTGGAAAATTGCGGGGGAAAATAACTCGGTTCTGTTGACATATGGAAGGATAATGATAGAATCACGTGTTTCGGGCCAGCATCATCAAACAGCAGATGCTTTTTCCGCCGCATGCGCAATGAAAAAGCCGGAAAATAAAAAAGGAAGAAGCAGGGATGCAGCCGGCAAATTATTCCCCCGGGAAGCTCCAATAAAAAAAAATTACGAAATCAAGATATTTCTATTTGAACTTTTGATTCAAATAGAACGAGTAGAAAACGGGCGTTGTTAATCGGCGTCTTTGTTTTGCCACCGCCATTCGTAAGCAACGTTTCGATCGCTCTCCGCTACTCTCTTTCTCCGCTCTCTCGCGATCCAAAAGAGCGAGTTAAACAGCGAAGAACGGGGCAAAAGAAAACGAAAGAGCGAGTCTTCAGCTTTGGGGAACACGCCCAAAAAAAAAGTTGGCTTACAAACAATCAACGTTTTATGTCACATATTTCTAACAAAAAACCAAGGAACCCTTCTGAATTCTTGGGTTATTCAATTGAAAACACTGTTTTTACCTGCTTGCACCGATTTAATGCCATTATTGGCCAGCAATAGGAGGCACAGTAATCCAAACTGAAGCGAAGAAAATGCCGTTTTCGTATTACTCCTGGGCGGCCTCATCTTGGAGGCTGGTGATTTAAACTTCCGTGGAACCGATTTATAAACACATTTATGTACGATTTCCGAGAAATGCTCAGTTAAATGCACTTTTCCGCTGGAAAAACCACTGAGAAAAACTGATAATTTATGGCAACGCGTCCGCGGTCTTGATGGTTTCCTCCTCCACTTTCCGCTTAGTATTTAATCGGTTATGAATTTAAGTAATTTAATGAGAGGGTCTATGACTCCGTCAGATCACGCCCACTTCGAAAGAGTTTCGTTTGAATTAAGAAAATAATTAACGCAACGCGGATGACACACGAACACTCCACAAATGTCTCGCTGCCAGTGTGGCCGTGCCTCGAATGCGACAAGATGCCACGCGGCTCAACACCCAGGAGTTTATCGCGTGGCGAAAACTATCGGTGTGTTCTCAAATTTACTTTCGCCCAGAAATTGTTTTGTTTGTATTTAAGTTCAGCAACATTTTAGAATTTATGTTTTTCACAATCATCTCCTTTCAGTCCACATTCACAGGCCCTTGAAGGAACACGCACAATTCGCGCCGGGTAGGGCAAGGGACCTCGTGGTGTGGATTCACTTTTAGGTTAAGTGAATTTGAAACACATACAAACGAATTTTGCCTTGGCGTTTTCCTGGAACACCAGGGCGGCCAAATAACTCCGCATCACTTACGGGTGACGCGGTAACTTAAACCCCAAAAAAAAAAAAAAAAAAATCATCTCCTTTATCAGGGAGAAAAGTTAGTCATTAGTCAATACCGGAAATATATTGTCAAATTAAAAGCAAACAAATTCTAAAAACAAAACGATAAATTCAGTTTATTCTCAAAAAATATAAAATCCATATATTTTTGAAACATTTTCAGAATACCCCAATCGGCTGGGCTGTGAAAACATCGATAATCGACCACCCCTATCGATAGTCGATCACACTGCTTCTCCCTCTTTTCGCCAAAAATTTGTTGGCGTGTTGTCAATTTCCTCAGCGTTTGATAGGCTTTGCGTTTTGTGTAGCACCGGAAAAGATAAATCAGCGACAATGTACGGCGGAGATGAATACGCAAGCAATTCGGTGAGTGCAGCAAGTCCGGGAAGATCCCATATCGAGAAATCCATTCCGGGACCCGCCGACAACATAACCCAACTTTTGAGCCCCCTTAAAAACATATGTAAAATGTAAGAAACACTCATTGGTTCTTTGTTTTTGGGATTCCAGGAGTACTACGATGACTTCGCGCACACCGGCGACCCGCAGCTGGACATGGAGTACGAGAGGAACTACTTCGCCACCCGGATGCCGGACAACGTCAAGTACTTCCTGATCAACTTCTGCCAGGCGATCAAGGAGGGCAACCTGTACGACATCCAGAACATGTACGAGAACACCTTCCCGCAGATCAGCGATCACCACTTCGACAAGACCGCCTGGCCGGAGGAGCAGGAGGTGGCCGCCATCGTGGACAACGACAAGGTCTTCCTAATCCTCTACAAGGAGCTCTACTATCGCCACATCCATGCCCGCATTCCCGGTGGCCCCAAGTTGGAGCAGCGGATCAACTCGTTCTTCAACTACTGCGACTTCTTCAACCTCATCATCTCGGCCCAGAATCCGGTGATGCTGGAGTTGCCCGACATCTGGTTGTGGGAGCTTGTGGATGAGTTTGTCTATCAGTTCCAAAACTTTGCGCAGTATCGGTGGGTAGCTCCTGCACTTACTCCTCTGGAAATCTATTTAACCCTATGTATTTTACAGCGCCCGTCTGACGGACAAGTCGCAGGAGGAGATCCAGCAGCTGTGCGTGAACCACAGCAACGTGTGGAGCATCCTGTGCATCCTAAACGTGCTGCACTCCCTGGTGGACATCTCGAACATCAAGAAGCAGCTGGAGGCCATCTCGCAGGGCGTCGATCCGCAGACCGTTGCCGGTGACTTCGGCAAGCTGTCCTTCTACAAGATGCTCGGCTACTTCTCCCTCGTCGGCCTGCTGCGCGTGCACTCGCTGCTGGGTGACTACTACCAGGCCATCAAGGTGCTGGAGCCCATCGAGATCCACAAGAAGTCCGCCTACTCGCACATCCCCGCCTGCCAGATCTCCACGTCGTACTACGTGGGCTTCGCCTACATGATGATGCGCCGCTATGCCGATGCCATTCGCACCTTCTCCGACATCCTGCTGTACATCCAGCGCACCAAGCAGCTGTACAGCACGCGCTCGTACCAGAACGACCAGATCAACAAGCAGGCGGAGCAGATGTACCACCTGCTGGCCATCTGCCTGGTTCTGCATCCCCAGTGCATCGATGAGTCCATTCAGCAGGTGCTGCGTGAGAAGAACTACCACGACGCCATGTTCAAGATGCAGTGCGGTGATTTGGAGGTCTTCAAGTCATTCTTCGTCTTCGCCTGCCCGCGTTTCGTGAGCCCCTGCCCGCCGGCCGCCGATGCACCGATGGAGGACTACGTCAAGGATCCCATGGAGCACCAGCTGCTGGTGTTCATGGACGAGGTGCGTCAGCAGAAGGATCTGCCCACGACCCGCTCGTATCTGAAGCTGTACACCACCCTGCCGCTGACCAAACTGGCCTCCTTCATCGATCCCAATGCCAGCGACGATGACGTGTCGAAGCTGCTGATCCGCCTGCTCTGCTTCAAGCACAAAATGCGCAACCTGGTGTGGAGTAAGGGACCCAGCGGCCTGGAGGGAACCTTCAAGTCGGGCTCTGAGGTGGGTTGTTTATCAAAAGATGGTGCAACAAGTTAACTAATCCCCCTTTTATCTTCCAGTTGGACTTCTACATCGACGACGACATGATCCACATAGCTGACACCAAGGTTTCGCATCGGTATGGCGACTTCTTTGTGCGTAAAATCCTCAAGTTCAACGATCTGAATCGCAAACTGAAGAACATCAACATTTAAGTCGACTCCCTTGTGACCCTTTATGATCTATTTAATATTCCAAACTGGACCGATTTCTCTTGATATCAATAAAAATCGCTTGCGGCTATGCGCAAGTTTGGTCCCCAAAATGTCTCCTTTAAATGAGTTTTGAGTGTTTTTGCGATAAAGCTAATCACAAATGAATTTATAAATTGTTTCTATAGAACAGAATATAGAATATAAATACTAAATTTTCATTAATGGAATTCAAAGAAGAGAGGGCCATAATTTTGTGATTAAATTTGCATGAATTTTATTTACTCTACAGTTAACATTGATTTTTTAAAAATTTTCCAATTTTTGTTCTCAAAAGAAAGCACAAAAAAATCTGGCAAATTAAAAAAATTCATAAAAATTATTCATTCAATTCGAAATTAATTAGAAAAACATTCAAATTATTTCACATAGAATTGAATTAAACAAATCAGAAAATTCATGGATCATATGCCAAAAGTTTTGACCCAAAACAAAAATTGAATGATTCACGCAGGGCTCTATTTCTAATCCCAAAAACATGAAAATACTTTGAGCTAGTGGTTTTAACATTTGCTTTATTTTTAACAATACCTTTATTTTATAAAAATTGTTTGTATGACTATAAGGAAATTCAAAATTCTACACATTACGATTTTAGAGTTGGCCACAACTCCACTTCTGCGTGGCGGGTGCCAAGATTCAGCAGCGCAACCAAGATTCGTTTGCGGTCATGGGGGAATGTGCGTTTGCGTTCAATTAATACATAGTATAATAATAACATCTCGTATCGAATTTCTCTCCTGTTCGCCAAACGAACACAAGCAAATTTCTTTGGTAAATGAATCGTAAATCGTACTAAGCGCTTAATAATTGTGATTTGGGTTGCGGGTGGCGGAGGAGTTGGCGTGGAGTTGGGGCTACAAGCAGTTCCACTCATACACACAGTTTAAAATTCAACTTAGGATTACACAGTACACACTTTATACACCGCTGCCTTTTGTGTTTTTTCTCTTTTTAGCTAACCATCGGTTCACTTAGGACTAACATTAAAATCAAACAATTTACAATTACGGACTTGTTTGTGAGGGTGGTTGGCCAGTCGTTAATCGACGGACACAGTGCGCTGATTGACGTCGATCAAGTAGATGTCCTTGTGGTTCTGCAGCACAAAGTCGACGAATGCGTTGATCGGTGCAATCTCCTCCAGGGAGGTGCTGGTGCTGCGCGACCACAGGAAATTGGGACCGAACACAATGGCCAGGTTGGAGGAGGTCATCTTGTTCAGGTCCTCGCAGTCCATTACCCTGACCAGGAACTCAACAATGTACTTGAACAGCTCGTAGTTCTCCTCTGGCAGTTTTTCGCGTATCAGTTGGGTCACATTCCGCGAACGCTCCTCCTTGGGCCAGTCCAGGAATCGAGTGACATCCTCGTACAGCTCGAAGGTGAGCAGCGGCTCGGCGAGATCGCGCAGGAAACTCTTCAGCAGGCCGGCTATTACGTGCACATTGACGCTCTTAAGATCCACATCCTCGCCGCGATTGACGCGCTCCTTGAGCGCCATAATCTCCGAATGGTTCCCGGATCGCCGGAAAATTCCCTCCGTATCGATGACGCCCGTAATGGACAGCGAATCGACGCACTTGCGCACAATGGGCGGAATGGAGTTCAGGCAGGGGCTATTGACCACAATGAACTTCAGGGGCACACCGAATTGATGCGTCGTCGCCATTTTGTGCTGCTGCTGCCGGGATGCATTTATGCTGCTGCTGCTGCTGCTGCTGGGTGGCGGCGTCGATGGCTTCCGGCTGGGGTTCAGCTTGTCGTCCAGGTCGCAAATGTTGTCCGGCAGCTTCAGCTTGTTCAGGCCGAGCGCCTGGCGCAGCTCGTCCAGGCTAGAGATGTAGACTAGCTTCTTGCGGAACTTGTCGCTGATGAAGGGGCTGAAGCAGTTCCAGATGACCCGAATGATCCACGTCGGATGCACCACATACAGCGTCTTTAAATTCTTGCGGAAGTTGCGATCGAGCTCCTTGTACGAGTTCCACAGCAGCTGCGTGGATGGCTTGTTGTCCTCCTTGAGGCCTTGATGGAAATACACCAAAATATAGTCGTTCTCCACAAAGGGTTCAATGTCTTTGATGATGTCACTGTGGGAGAAAAGGAAATCAGTAAATAAATAATATAAATAAATATATATCATACCGCACGAATCCTTCGAGCTGGGACTTCTCGGGAAAGCGAGATGCATAAATGCCGAAAATGTGACGACCTTGCTTGTCGGTGCCCAGGAAATCGCATTTGTTTCTGGGCGCCTGAAAGTTCTCCGACTGTTCCCTGAGTTGGTCCTCAAAGTCGTCCTCCAGTGGATTTACATCTTCTTCGGGCTCTAGTTCTGGATCTAAGAGAATCGACAAACGTTATTCTACTCTATGAATTTCGAAAAAGGGTGCTCCAACTCACCATCAGCCAGGACAAAATCGCCGACCATAACATCTTCTGGGGAAAAATTAGAGATTGAAATTAGTTGAAGTTATGTTTTGGGGGAATCACAAAATGTGTAGTTCCTAAAGTAAAATCTTGGTGTTTAAACATCTAAAAATGTCTGTAAGTCGAGAAGAATCTTAAGGAACGTAGTGTGAAAATAGTTTTATATATGAGTGATTCTTTCTGAAACGTATCGAGATTTTCTTCATGGTCTCAAAACGATATCTAATTTTTATGACACTATCACACCATTTAAAAAGGATTTAAAAAAAAAAATCCATTTGACAGAAGCGAAGATATGGCGATGCTATTTTTTTGTTTAATTAATTTATAATTTTAAGTTACGTGTGGTAAAAAATAAATAAAAATACCCAAAAATTATTATTTTTGCCAAGCTTTCAGATAAAAATAACACCCATAATGGTTCCCGTGCAAAATATAATCCAAACTTAATATTTCTTTTGCGGTTTTCTGCAAATCGGCATTTTTAATCTTTATAAAAAAATAGCATAACGTTCTATACTTAATTCTTGTTGGCTCCTGAAAGTTTATAGGTACATAGATTACTTACTTTCTAAGGGCGATGGGGCCAACAGTTCGGTATCGTCAAACTCTAGCTTCGGCTCAAAGTCGTGCAGATCGGAGAGACTGGGCTGCGGCTCGTCCGAGTTATCGACGATCGGATTGATGGCTGGACCTTGGGGTGCGAGAGGGAAGGCATTTATAAGTCTCGTAGGTTTCCCTGGCGCAGGACTGGTATTCCAAAAACGTAATCTTACAAGTAATGCTTTCAGTTAAGTATTTTGACCGCCTGAGGCAACAAGTTTAGTTCGGATTGAGTTTGAGTAAGTGAATAGACATGAATCAGAGAAATTTAATTTGATGAGTACGTTGGCATCTGATTGGATAATCAAGAGTCTTACTGTTTCGATATTATTGGCAGACGATTACAGAGATTACTGAACAGAACAGAACAGAGACGATTAGGAAACTCTAAGCTAGGACTAGGACTAGGACTAAAAGGATAGGACTAGGGCAAACACACGATCACATATCACACAAACCTCGTAACAAACATTGGCAACAACACAGCTAGCGAAAAGAGGTAAAGTAAACAAATAGGATCCACAACAAACCAAGCAAACACGTTGGATAGTTAAAAATGCAAGAAATGTATGTACAGAGACGGTGAGCTGCCCACATAGGCTGGGTTAAACAGTTTGAAAATGGGGTTAGTAGCGCAACTTGATACCAAAAACAAAGAGGTTGGTTAGGGGGCGTTGGGGGGTTTAGTCAGGGACGGGGGGCAGGGCACAAAATTAGTCGTAATTGCTGGCTATTACTGTTAGTTCTCAAACGAGGGCACTTCTCCCCTCAAAGAAACTACGATACGGTAATGAAAACAAAACAAAGCAGCGCAAAGAAATGACTCCCAGAACTTGAAATACAGATTAGAGGCATTTAAAAGAGAAGTCGCAATTCTTTTTATAATTTCTTAAGGCCTGTTTTTTTTATCATCTTAATGGTATGCTTAAAGCTAACTGGGAATAAGTTGATTGTAGCTTATTATGAGAACGGAGAAAAACGAGCTTAAGTTTGGTTTCTTATAAATGGTATATCATTTATTATTTTACCTATTATAACGTAGTTAAAGATTTAGAAGAATGTTGAACGAAATTTAACGTTTTTTTTAATATTTTGAAATGGTATATCTTTAAGTTTCATTTCTCTATCATATAGATTTTCATCAAAACACCTCTGTTTTTAATCGTAGTTTTATAACGTATTTAAACATTTTTATTTAACTTTTTTTTTAATATTTTGAAATGGGATATGTTTAAGTTTCACTTCTCTATCATATAGATTTTCATCAAAACACCTCTGTTTTTAATCGTAGTTTTATAACGTATTTAAACATTTTTATTAAACTTTTTTTTTTATATTTTGAAATGGGATATCTTTAAGTTTCACTTCTTTATCAAATATATTTACTTTAAAACACCTCTGTTTTTAATAACAGTTTTGGGAATTCTTTCTCAGCGCCCAAACAAGGCAAATCGCTAGCAGTTGCGCTCAAAATGCTAAGCAGTTAAAATAACCAAAGAACAAAACTATAGATATTCGAATCAAAAAGCATGACTTGGTCGATCGGCCGGCGGACTTACCTGGTAATCTCGGTGCGAAACGCGAATGGGCGTCCATGGTGGTTGAATATATATGAATGTCGAGTGCTTTCAGGTGCTGTCCGTCCGTTCGATGTGATTGGAATTCTCGCGGTGACGCAGGACGTGGCTCAGTCGTTGGGCTCGATTATTGGCATGTAGAATATATGCGGCTGAAATGTGAGAATAAATTAGCCAAAAGCAGCAGTTTGCCAGTACTCTATCGATGACGTCATTAGCCAGCTAGTTTTGGTCGATTGGTTGGTTGTTATTTCTTGGTATTGGAAATAGTACAGGTTATATGGCATTGCTGATTCACATTTATTCACTTGGATGGATTTGGTTAAAGTTAATGGCGAAGGGGTTTCGCTTGGTAACTTGGCCCTGAAAGACACCTGCGCCTACATCCACATCCACATCCACATCCACGTCCACGCCCACCTCCTCCTACATACAGTGGGTTTCAAGACAAATGAATTGCTTTCCGAAAGATAACGAACACAGAATGAAATGAACAGAGGCTGCTTATCGCAATTCCAACACAAAGTTTCACAAATTCACAGTGACAAAAATGAAACGTATTTTGCTTGCTCTTTTCGCAATTTGTTTGATTTGCTTATATCTTGAATTTGTCATTCAATTTTAAAAAATTTGTCTTCCATTCAAGAATTTTTAACTTTCGATGATATTTTTATGATATTATATTTTATGTTCTTTAACATTAATTAATTCAGATAACATTTGCTGTTTTATTTATCAAGATTAGTTACTATAACTGAGGGTACACCCTTTAAATTAATTAATAGGTTTCAAAGTTCAAAATGTCATATCCTTTTTGCCATCACTGTTCGGAACTGTATACCACTTTCTGGGCCACCACTGTGTTAGGGAGTAGGCTGATCCTTTCTCACCGCCACTGTAAATGGGAGTCGCCTCCTTTGTCCCGCCACTGTTCGCACATACACACAGGAGGTAAGTTAAAATTGCACAAGTTGGTAGGAAAACGCAATTTCCTACTCTCTATAAACAACCGATAAAATTGCAAGCAAACTGCGCATTTGTGTCTTGCCTTCTTTTAATTGTATTTACTTTTTTTGTATACTGCGCTGCGAACTTTTATCAGCCCTAAGAAAATATCGCACTTGACACGATTGCAATGGTTTGTCTTCACCCCGATTTCATTTCACAATTCCCTAATGTTTTTACTCGGTATGTCAGCTTTTGCGAGAAAAGTACCTTTTATCAGTACGGGAAAAATTTTTCGTTAATTTTGCTGCCAGACGACGTTGTTTTTGTCGATGATTAGTGGTGGCAAACTTTTGGTTTGGCGAGCCCATTAGTGCTGCAAAAAAGCGCAAATCGACCAAACTTGGCAGAGTCACGAGGAGAACTTTTTCGTGTCACGATTGACACCTAATAAAAAAATAAGATTTATTAAAATTTTAGTCTTTCAAGTTAATCGTAATAGTCGTTGTAAAATATTTTAATCTATTGCTGTCCACATATTTATTATCCAATTAATTTTGTTTATTTTTTAAACACAAAATCATCTCACGCTGCCATCTCTGCTGTTATCGATATTTCAAAACACATGAACGGTCCCTCTGCAGTGTGACCGTTCGCCGTGCTGCTCGCAACTTTGACACGACCAGTTCCAAAATATCGTGAGATTTACGAAAAACTACTTTAAAATGGTCGGTTGGAGCCGTTTGCTGTCGCCGGCGGCGAAGTTCGCCAGCTACCGGGCCGTCCTCCAGGAGCCCGCCTGCCGTAATGGTGAGTGCAACGCGGAAAAGCCACCGTAAACACTGTCCACATTACGCAACCAAATATTCTGGATTTCTAGCCCTGCAGCAACAGCTGCGCAGGATGGGAGGCGATCATGGACACCACCACATGACCATCAAGCCGTCGCGCTTCCAGTGGGACAAGTTCAAGGATCTGATGCACTTTTACGTAATGCTCGGCGTGATTCCAGTCACCGCATTGGTCCTCTACGCGAACATCTTCGTGGGTCCCGCGCAGCTGGCGGAGATCCCCGAGGGTTACGAGCCCAAGCACTGGGAGTACGAGAAGGTATGATGGGATAACGGGATTTATAGATTTTATTTTAATTACTTTAATTAATTTTAATTAATTGGATAAACTTGCACAAAGATCATAATTTAAGGTTTGTAGCGAGTTAAATTGAATTTACATTCAAAATATTCTAAAATAATTGAATAAACTTCCACAAAGATCATAAATTGAATGTTATTCAATGTACATTCAATTTAACTCGGTAAAAACCTCGAATTATGATCTTTGTAAAAGTTTATCCAATTATTTAAGACCAACTACTAGCATTTCAATATGCTTCAAATGAAAATGTAAATTTGGTATTATGCTTTGGTTTCTAGATATTTGTTTTTTTAATATTACTTTAGTATTTTACTAGAATAATTCTAGCATTAATCCATATTACAACTATTAACTTGAAAATTATTTCATATGTGATGAATTCATAACACGCAACATTTTAAAATCGTTCTAAAGTATTTAAAATTAATTACTAGACAATGTTTAGCTCGTCAAAAATTATATGTTTTAAAAACGTTTATAATAGTGTATCTTTAATTTTCTACTCCATCATAACATAGAGTTTCTAATTCAAAATTTTTTTTATAATTTCAGCACCCCATCTCGCGCTTTATTTCCCGCTACATGTTGAACTCGGAGCAGCAAAACTACGAGAAATCCCTGCACTATCTCTACGAGGAGAACGAAAAAGCACAGATTCGGTGAGGCAAAAACTATACCTAAATTATACCTATATTTATACTATATTTTCCTTAATATTCCTTTAGCCTCCTTGAGGACCAGGTTCGTCGCAAGATGTCCGAGCGCAACGACTACCAGGCCTACTACTACCGACCATCGGTGGCCAAATACCACAGGGTTTCCAAGGAGGCTGCCGACGAACTGGAGGCCCTGCGCGGAGACTAGACCCCTTGTAATATTCTTTAAATACCATTGTTAGGCTCCCGTTTTGGGGGAAATAAAGTGTGAAATCGAGTTCGCAACATCAGCTTAGTCACATTTAATAATATACAAAAATTACACAGTAGTCGAATAAATACTTAAGGTTTAGCGTAGTCGAGTGCGTATCGATTTAGCCCCACGCCTGATTCTTGCAGTAGTAGAGCACCAGTTTGCCATTGGTTCCGTGGCACTCGTACAGGTTCTTGATTATCTGATCCGGGGCGGGTGCAAATGTCTGATTAACGTAGAGGAACTGCAATATAAAGATCTTAACTAAGATAGGGTTTCTCAGGAGTCCGAAAAGTACTTGCAATTTGCTCGTTGGCATCAAGTTTAAGGAACTTGTGGATGAACTGTTGGATCCAGCCGACGGTTTTGCTGGGATCCACTGTCCAGGTTCGCTTCTTGATGATCGGCACATTCCCAGTGGCGTTCAGAAGGATACAAACTGATAAGGAAAACATTGTGATAATAATAATATACTACAACTTATGGTCTATTACTCTTGGAAGCATCCTTATCAGCGGGCGTGGAGGTGGAAGTGCTCAAGGCCGCCTGGGATTCTGGTGTGTCTGCCATTTATTTGGAATGTGGCTAAATCGTTAAGCTCCAAATTAATGGGTTAAAATTGCCAATTTGTAAATAAAATATAAAATATTAGAGATGGCAAAACAATGATGACAAAATCGATAGAAGTCACGAGATAGCTGGATAATCAGTTTTAGCTGGCTATAATTTTATGTAAACCAAATTGTAATTTCTTTAATATTTAAAGAAAATTTCCTAATTTTGTGATATTTTTAAGCTTCTAAAATCAATTTATATAAAAATCACTTTCTGACTCACAAAATACGCTATTCACTTGCTCATCTCTAGCGATAACAGCGACTATGTTATTTTACATTCGGCTGTTATCGTAAACACGTGTGGAAGTTTATAAAACAATCCGGGAAAATAAACAAATTATTATGAATAATAATCTTTTCGAGGGCTCCGATGATGACGGCGAGGACCTGCAGTTGTCCACGAACAAGGACTATGCCAAGACCTACAACATCCTGCGCAAAAAGGAGCTGTTGCAGAAATGTAAACTGAAAAGCCATGTTCTACGATCATTTTTCCTTTCATTTCATTTCCTAATTATATTACTTAATATTCTTCAGATAAAGATCGTGGCTTGGATGTATCCGAATCGGAGTTCGATAGCGACAGCTCGTCCTCCGAGGAGGACGAGGTGGACCCCAAATTCGACCAGGACTTTTTCAAAACACTTTCATCGCTCAAAAGCAAAGATCCAAGGATTTACGACAAGGGCACGAGATTCTTCAATGAATCCTCCAGCGAGGAGGAGGACAAGGACGGTGACTCCCCATCAAAGAAAAAGAAGAAAACCAAGCCTGTTACATTAAAAGACTACGAGAGAAAGGTGATCCTGGAGCACAACGGCAAGTTCGAGAGTTCGGATGAGGAGCAGCAGGAAAGGAAGGAGCAGGAGGAACTCCAGAGGGCCCAATCCCCTAGCGCCGTGGAGGAGGAGCGGCGTCTCAAGGCCGAGTTCCGGAGCGTGATGAACCAGGAGGACGAGGGCGAGGATGAGGAATTCGGCGGCATTTTCAAGAAACGCAGCAAGACCAAGGAGCAAACGGCCGCCGAGGAGGCGGACTTTGCCAAGTGGTTGGCGGGCAAGCAGGCGGAGATCGAGCAGACCGACAGGGAGCAGTTGGAGCCGCTGAAACAGTACTGGAACAGCAGCAAGCTGACGCAGGGCGAGAGTTTCCTCAGGGACTACATCCTGAACAAGGGCTACGCGAACACGGATGCCTCGGCCATTCCCACATACGATGAGATCGTTGGGGAAACAGCACCACTTTCCGAAGACGAGCAGGAACTGGAGAAGCAGGCCGAGTTCGAACACAAGTACAATTTCCGGTTTGAAGAACCCGATGCGGACTTTATTAAGCGCTATCCCCGCACCATCGAGCAGTCCATTCGACGCACGGATGACAAGCGGAAGGAGAAGCGCAAGGAGCTCAAGGAGCGAAAGGATCAGGAGAAGCAGCAGAAGATGAAGGAACTCGACTTGATCAAGGACATCAAGCGCAAGGAGATCGAGGAGAAGATACGTAAACTAAAAGCCGTGACGGGCAACGATGAACTCGGTTTCCGGGACGAAGAACTCGAGGAGGATTTCGATCCGGCCGCGCACGATCGCCGGATGCAGGAGCTTTTCGACGACGAGTACTACAATGTGGACGAGGGCGAGGAGAAGCCCGAATGCCCCTCGGACATTGACGAACTGCAGCTGGAAGATTGGGACAACTACGATCCCAAGCAGCATGCAAATGCGGGCAATGAGGACTACGAAGGACACTGCGAGGACGAGGACTTTAACATGGACTGCGACTACGATCCATCCACGTCTAAGCAGCAACTCCAGCAGGAGCTGATTGAAAGCACACGCGGTCGCAAGGGACGCAAAGGAAGGCGGAATCGTTTCATGGAGATGATCCAGGCGGAGAAGCCGGCCTTCAATCCCGAGGACGAGAAGACCTACAGTGAGTACATCGACGAGTACTACCAAATGGACTGCGAGGACATCGTGGGAGATCAGCCGTGCAGATTTAAGTACGTGGAAACCACACCCAATGATTTCGGACTGACGATAGAAGAGGTAGCTTTTACTTTTAATCTATATTAAATCTAAAGAAAATTTATGTAATATTTTTTAATGTTTAGATCTTGCTGGCCAAGAACAAGGAGCTCAACCAGTGGGCCAGCCTCAAGAAAGCCGTGCAAACCAGGCCGGAACATGTAGAGAAAAAGGAGCAACGTCTGTACAAGATGAAGGCCAAGAATGAAGATCTGAAGCGAAAGATATTCAAGAGTTTATATGGCGAAGGGTAAGTAACTTTGATTTATTAAATGAAGAAAAAAGGGTAGGCTAAAACTTGACCTTCTTGCAGTTCTGATGACGAAGATCAGCCAGCAGAAGAGACGAAACCAGCTACTGAAACCTCAGCTCCCCCCGAAAGTTCTCAGGTACCAACGGAGGGTTTATCTAAATCGAAAAGGAAACGCCTCAAACGCAAAGCTGCCGCATCAGCAGCTGCCAGTTCGCCACAGGTTTCTAAAGTAGAACCCAAGCAATTAGAAGATAACAAAAAGAAGGACGATCCTCCTAATAAAAAGAGTAAAGATGAAGGAGATTTGGAAACTAAGAGCTTCGCAAAGGAGGCAGAAAAACCAGAAACCACTAACTCCTTCAGCAATAATAAAAACATGCCTAAAAATGTTCAAAATGGTTTCAAGAAACCCCAAAAACAAACTCCAGCTAAACCGGAAAAGACTTTCCAAAAAACCGAAACTGCACCTACAAAAACCGAAAAATCCAATGGAAATAATCCGTTCAGTAAACCTAATCTAAAATCCAACCATAGTCAAAAACTGCCACCAATTCATAAAAACCAAGGAGACAATAAAAAGTCTCCCAAGAATGCCACAGGTGCCAATCCCTTCAAGAAATCGAACCAAAAGGATAGTGCTCCGTTCCCAGCTAAGAAAACGAACAACTTCAAGGCGAAAAACAAGGGAAATAATAATGGAATAACAGACGATCGATTGAAAGCCTACGGAATAAATCCCAGAAAGTTCCACAAGCGGGAAAAATACGGGAAAAAGGATAAGTAGAAAGTCGCAGTAAATCTAATAATAATAGTAGTTATACATTTTGTAGTTACATCTTATGTACATATGATAACATATTAAAAACCAGCACATTTTACACAGTGAACTTTTGATTGAATCATTCATTCCGCGGCAGCCACGTCATCATCGGTGGACACTTCGTCGTCGTCGTCATTCTCGCTGCTCTTCAGGCGATCCAATTGCAGTCGCCGCTCTTGAATGCGCACGCACTTGGGGCAAATCATATTTTTGCGCGTGAGGCAAACGCGGTGGAAGATGGAGTTGCACTGATCGCACTTGATGCAGCCGTCGTCGAAGGGGAAGATAACCTCGTCGTTGCTGCAAATCTCGCAGATGTACGCCTGAGCCAGGCACATGGGACAGGATCTAATGTGATTATTAAACTCCTTGAAAACTGCCTGCAGGAATTCGGTGAGCGCGCCGCTCTCCACCTGCGAGAGATCCCACAGCGAATAGAACTCATTCGACTGCGCCAAGTGTCGCCGGCCGCCCAGCTGCTGATCCACCAGCTTCAGTTCACTGGCCATCCTGCAGGCGGCCAGATAGTGGCGCATGTGCACCAGATTCTGGCGCAGCTTCTTCACCGCACTCAGCTTCTCCACGAACACAAACAGCTTGGGATTGTCCTCCTCCAGCCGGATAAGCGGTTTGTTCAGGAACAGCCTGATCTCCTGCAGCGCCGTTCGCGATACTCGGCGGGGCGAGAAGTCCCAGTTGTGGATTATGCGGGCCGGTATAAAGTTACTGTCGTTCCAATTGCAGCGAGGACAGTAGTACAAGCCACTATAGTCGCAAAGACGCGGCTCAATCCAGGTGTTTTCTGCAAGGGAAGAGTTTAGGGATTTTTAAATTTAAACCAGGGTTCGGAATTTAACACACATGTTAAAAACATGTAAAATGGTATTTTACAGTGTGAGCACAGTTTTTGACATGTGTGTCAAAAACAAAAGTGTAAGGGTTGTTTTCTCGTCCGTTTGTTAAATTTAAAGTAAGGTTAAAGCAATGATTTCACATACGATTTCAAGGTTTTAACCCTACTTAAAATTTAACAAACGGACGAGAAAACGGCCCTTAAAATGTGAAAAATAATTGTTAACACACAGAGCTCACTTGTGTTTTTTACACACTGTGTTTCTAACACAAATGAAAATTACATTTTATGGACATTAACGAATCGAAGGGAAAATGAATAATAATTAATATTGGGCCAGGATATCTTAATTGTTATTTTTAACCGTTTCAAAGCATCTTTTTCTGACTTTTTAATGTGAAAAACTGATTGTGTTAAAAACACGTTGTGTAAAAAACATTTCGTGTAAATAACACAAATAAACTGTGTTTGTTATTTATGTTTCTAACATACATATGTAAGCTACAATTTTGTACACACATGTCAATAACTTTTTTTGAACATTTAACATGTTAATAGCACAAGTTTTTTACAGTGTGTTATTTTCCGAACCCTGATTGAAAGAGCAGATAATAACTTACTTATATTAAGCATAGTTCCGCACTCGGCGCACTTGTATCCCTGGGCAGCCAGCCCAATTTCGGGGCAGATCTCCGAGATGGGATGTTGGCGCTCGGAGACCAGGACATGGGCACACACCCTCTTCACGCCATCGATGCACTTCTGATGGACGAGGAACCCACAATCGCTGCACACATACGAGCTCTGCACCACGCTCCAAATGATGGTGGTGCAGTGGTCACAGTAGTTCCTCCTGGCCGCCGCCTGCAGGCGACTCCGCTTGCCGTGATGCGGATGGTGGGGCACAAAGTGATGGCCCACCACCGCCCGGATGGCGTTCATGACGACCATGTCGGACTGCTGCTCCTGGGCCTCCTCCAGTTCCTGCAGCGAGTACCGCAGATCCACCAAATGCCGCACCAGCCAGCGTCGCTCCTCGCTGAGCTCCTCGCTCAGCAGGACGAGATCCCGGCAATGGGCAATGGCCGCCTGGAGGTCCTGGCTATTGGCATCGCTGGTGAAGATCAGGCGCCACTGCTCGCGCACCAGGGAGGCGGGAATGGGCAGGGCCCTGTACTCGCCGCCCTGCGGACCACTCTCCTCGGAGCCCCCGGTTTCGGATCCACTGGATCCGACTGCCGATCCCAGCGAGCTGGAGACGTGCATCAGGGTGCTGGCGCTCTCGTTGATCAGCTGGGCCACCGTGCCCGGAATGCTGGTCAGACTGTCTCGCCAGCTCATTTTTGGGAAAAACAAAACAACAATTGTTGCTACCTTTGTTAGGAGACCAGGGATGCAAGCGAGGGATAACTATAATCGATTGGTTTAGATTTATTTAATCGATTTATTTAAACATCTGGCGCCAACTTTGAACTTGCTTTTTTAAATTAAGAGAGCTAAGCGAACTAAGAGTTCTTAAGTATTTCCTATAGTTAGCTTGTGGTTTTCGTCAACGTGAGTAAAAGCATATACTACAGTTTATCATATTTTTAAAAATTTTCCGACCTGTTGCTCACAATATAGGTACTCAATTATTGTTGTATTTTAAAACAAATATCACCTAAATTGGTTGGGCTACTCGAGATAAAAATAAAAACACAAACATATCACCAAAAATATATTTAAAAATGATTTAAATTAATATTTCAAAGCTAATCTTTGGTATTAAAAGCTAATCTTTCATTTTTGTGATCTAGGGGTCCAACTTTACCGGGAACTACAAGCATCCTTTCTGGTGTATTTTAGCTGTAAACTAGTGTAATACCCAGAAATAAAATTCCAGAATCAAAACTTGAGTAAGAATTGTAAATTATTTAAAAACAAGAAAGGAAGCTAAGTTTCGCCAGGCGAAGCTTTTATACCCTTGCAGATCATTCCTATTAAATTACAAAATATTTAATTTTGTATTATTTTGACATTAATTTTTCTTTCCCTCAAAAAAAAATTGTCTCAATTAGTGTTAAATTTAATCCGAAATTCTGAAATGTTAAAAAAGATTCATATTCCTGAGTTAAACAGAATACAATAAAAAACCAACGGAGCTATAATTCTTTCCTATTAATTTGGCTTTCGTTTCTATGGCAGCTATATGATATAGTCGTCCGATTTTTATAAAATTAAATTTAAAATTCAAAAGAAATATTAAAGAAGAAAATTCTGAAATATATATAAAAGAAAAGCTTCTGTAAAGTTGTTGTTTAGATACGTTTATTGTTGAATGGTCACAAGGTGGACTGACAAGCTAAGGGAAAACAGAGTTAAATTACGGCTTCTATGGGGGGAAGTGGATGTAGACAAAGAGATAACATCTAGTAATTCGATATCGTTAGTTCGCAGGTGATGGATCGTATTCGTATTCGTAAGATTCGCAAGATTCGTAAGATCTAGAATCTAGACAACGTTGGTGTGCTCGTCGCGGTGGAAGATCTTGATGTCGACGAACTTGAAGTTGTGGACATCGAAGTAGTAGTCGTGCTTCACAGGTCGGTTGAAGGGGAAACCGAAGGGCAGGGCGTCCACATACCGGGATCCATGACCCACTCCGCAGCTGACCACCGGATCGTAGCCGGTGAACTGGGCAACCTCGGGCTGGTGGTACGGGTAGACCATGTAGAAGAACTGGAACACCTGGCCGCCCTTCTTGCCCCGCGGCAGCATCATCCTATTGGGCACACCGCAATGGGCCTCCGACTGATCCAACTTGAACTTGTAGTCGCTGTTCGAGGCGTCCATCAGCTTCTGGTAGAGTTCCAAATAGGTAGTGCGATCGTTCACCCAGAAGGAGAAGTCACCGCTGGCCCGCTTGATGTGGTTAACCCCAGCCTCCAGATGGACCTTAAAATGCTCCAGTTCGAAGAAGTTCTGGTAGTTGTACTCCAGTGGGATCTCGTGACCATGCTCATCGAACTTGGGTCCAATGAAGACCTTTACGATGGCCTCCTGGGCCTTGTCCGCGGTGACATCCAGGGTGAACTCGAAGGGCTTGTGGTTGAGGCGCTGCTGGCGGGCCTTGATCACGTAACTCTCGCCCTTGTAGTGGGAATTGCGACCAAAGAGATATAGCTGATCCGTGGCACCCTCCACTGGGGGCTCCACATTCACGGCATTACTAATGTCCGAATCGAAGTACTCGAAATAGGTGGTCAAACTCTCGGGCATGTGAACAGCATCGATTTGGACGCCCTCGTAGAGGTAATCCTTCTTCTGGTACTCCGGATAGGTCTCCATCAGATGCCAGTAGTGGCTTACGAGGGTCTTGTAGACCTCGTAGAAAATAGGATCCCTCATGGAGGTGTCGTAGTGCATGAACAGACCAGGGAAGCTCTCATCGCCATGACCATAATGATGACCCTCGTTCACAATGAACCTGTAGAGCTTATCCAGACTGCCGTAGAACTTCTTGTCCACACTATCCACATTGCCCTGGATGATATTACCCAGCACATTGATCGTCTCCAGATCGAACTTCTCGTTCCTGTGGATCCAGTCCATCACGCGCTGCGTGTACATCTCGACATGCTCGATGTGCTCGTAGTTGTGCTCGTGGTAGAAGCTGTGGTGGTTCTCCCGGTGCCACTGGGGCACTCCGTAGTAGGATCGCAGGTTACTAGCATACCCAGACTCGGTGGGCACGTACATGTTGAAGGCAGGAACCTCGCCGAGATCGTGGGACAGGCGCTCCAGGTACCAACGGGCCAGCAGCTGCCAGTGGACATACAGATACAGCTCACCACGACGATCCTTGTTCAGGACATGCTCATCACCGCCCTTCGTCCAGAAGGGATAGTCCAAATTGAAGTAGTAGTAGAAGGCATTGAAGCCCACATCCTCCAGGTAGTAGGCCAAATCATGATCGTAGTTAAGGGAACCATGAACATTCGAGTAGTTCGTCTTGATCACCACATTGTAGATGTTGTCCATCTGCTTGACGTGATGGAAGCCGTGCATCTTGTAGTGCTCCGCCCATTCCAAGGCCTGACTATCGAAGAAGCTCCAGGGATGAATCTCGTAGTGGGCTGGCATGATCACGCCCTGCATGTCGTCCCGGAAAATGGTGGCAATGGTGAAGGCGTAGATGAACATCTGCTGATTGACGTGCTGGCGGGCCCAGTAGGCCACGTGCTGGAAGGTCTCCCAGTTCTTGGCAAAGTAGAAGAGACGCACCAGACCCACGACATACTCCTCATGCTTCTCGTACATCACCGACCAGGCCATGTCGTTGGTGAAGGGCTGGTGCTGCCACAGCTCGAAGAAATGCTCCAGCATCTCGGGATGGAGATAGTCGGCTTTGTGCTCCCACGGTTTGTACTCCGCATAGCTGGCGGGGTAGGCTTTTGCAAAGACATCATCCTGGTAGGGATGCTGGTTGATCTCGAAGACAAACTTCTGCTTCAGCAGGAAGTCCTTGTCCGCCACCTTGGACTCCAGATGCTTCGCCTGGCCAAAGGACGCCAGCAGAGCCACCGTTACAACTGCGATCGCCGTGAACGACTTCATCTTCTTGTCGAATCGATTCGAATCGTACTGCTGCAATGGCTGCGGGGCCCGTATTTATACCCAGATCTATTGTATACTCACTCGCAGATTGCAATCCGGCCAATGACCGGTCGCATCCGTAGCCTTGACACTCCTCCGCCGGATCTGATCGACCCCGGGAACCCGAAATGCTGCATCCCGAATTGCAGGCGATAAGACCTCCGATCAGGCATTGTCATTCGCATGCCGAAAGAGACATTATCTAAATTCAAGAATAACACTTGGTTCAGACTATAAAAGCTTTGTTTTTGGCGATGGAATCAAAAGTGTAGGGGATACCTTCTTATAGAAGCTACTGGAAAAATACTCAAATGAACTACTTGGAAAGGATTCGGATATTTATTATAATTATCTATTCACAATTATCACTTGGAATACAATATTTTTAAAAGTACCAAAACTAAATTTCTTTTTTAATAAGTGAATAGTTTTAAGTTACAATTTAATTCAATTTTTACAATGTAAGGGGATACCTTCTTATAGGAGGTATTGGAAAAATACTTAAATGAACCACTTGGAAAAGAATTCAGATATTTATTATAATTATCTGTTTACAATTATCACTTGGAATACAATTCTTTTAAAAGTACCAAAACTAAATTGGTTTTTAATAAGAATAGTTTTATGTTTATTCAACTTTTACAATGTAGGGGATACCTTCTTATAGGAGGTATTGGGAAAATACTTTAATTAACCAATTGGAAAAAATTCAGTTATTTATTATAATTATATGCTTACAAATTTCACTTGGAATACAATTTTTTTAAAAGTACAAAAAAAAAAAAAACTTAAGAGTAACTTAATATAAAAAAAAAATACCAAAACTACATTTATTTCTATTAAGTGAAAGGTTTTAAGTATACTTAATTTTTTCTCTGTATGATGACTTTTCTTTTCTAAAGTTTTAATAGAGAATTTTGCTGATTTCAACCTATCAACAGGTGACAGGCCCCCTTCCTAAACCCATTTAAAACCCGATTAGAATTACATGGCTGGGTGATCACCTGTCGATTAAGGTGTTACTATGCAGCTGCATGATAAGCCTGCAGTCGTCTTTGTTTGCCTGACAGGTCGCCATTATCAAGCGATGCTAAAAATATTCCAAATTGCAAAACACGGAGCATTAATCATGTTGCTGGGACATCAACTCGGGTAGACAACAAAGAACAATGGCCCATCGAAAGACCCATAGTCCAATCCAGAACATATCGGAATATGACTCCCCTCTTACACCTACAGCTTACCACTCACCAAACCTACAAAATATATTGCAATCTAATACTGCTACTCTTCTCTTCTCACTAAAAGTCTCCCTATTTATATAGAAAATCCGCATTAAACTCAAAATAAAAATCCTAAAAAACTTTAAAAACAATAATTTAATTTACGAAAAATAACCATTTCGAAGAAAATTACTATCCGAGTTATTTGGCGGCTGGATGCGTGGCAATCGTCGAGCGGCCTCCCGATTTTGGTCGGGGATTACGTTCAGCACATCCTTCGGATGCTCCGCCCGGCGACTTTGGGATGAGGCTCTTGGCTGCGGAGACCTGTAGAATTCCGTTGTCCTCCGGCGCGGATACATCTCACAGGTGTTCTAAAAGTACAGAAAGAGGTAATAATAAAATAAGTAATAAGCCTTTTTAAAATAAAACCACTTACTGGTCGAATGAAAGGGGGTGTGCCATCCATCTTCTTTATTAATTTTAAAGAATCCTAAAAATTTAGAAATTTGATTACGATTTTGTTTGGTTATTCAAAAGATCTGATAGGAAACTGAAGGAAAACATTTCTATAGATGTGAAACTCAAGTCAAGGCTTACTTTTTAATATTTTATACAAGTTATTTGATTAAATAACTCTCTAGGTATTATAGTTTGGAAGGGTATTATATACTTCGTCCTATCAAAGTGAAATTTGCTACGTCTTTCAGAATGACTTTAGATGCTGACATGATTCACCAGATTAGAGGCGCATATGCAAATTCCGAACAAACAACACCTTATCAGTATAAGTATTCATTAACCCATAATTTAGTTCAGGTGATTAGTTGCTAGTGAATATTTTACGTAGAATTCAAAAGGTTAAATTGTTTGATGGAATTAAAGTGGTTTATTTTTTTAATAAAAATTTTTTTAGGTATCCTTCTTGAAAGTATGACGCTAAAAATCTATTATGAACTTTGTTATTTCTTTATCCTGAAATTATGAACCTAGTTAAGGCAGGTATTCCTTAGTTGCGCACCCCAAGAAAAGTCAACTAATGAACTTCTCACGCAACCTAATTCCTAATTGGGAATTACGGCACCCCAGGGAAAATATTCAGAGGTCGGGGTCACCAAAAGACAGATTTACCAGGTTAGTTGCCTTCTGGAACATGGAGTCTTCGGTGGTTTTTCCGCTCCTTATCCTGATTTTTCTGCCAGGGATTTGCTCCCTAGCCGGGATTGCCTGTCGAATAGCAGTAAAGCTGAATGTCCAGGTGACCTATCTGTACCGTTGTTCCAGTTGTCCTGCTTCCTTTGATCCCGAGCACTCTGCCTTGGAACTGGAACTCCATCGCTGTGTGGGCAGTCGATTACCCACGGTCACGAGGAACATCGAGGCCCATGAAGTGGAACCATTGCGAAACACGGACAGCCTGAGCATCTTTCACATCCCAGCGGGCGAGGGGGGAGATGCCCTGGTTCGCCGCATCCTGGACATGTTGAATCCCCGCCAGCCGCGCAAGCATCTGCACAAGTACCTGTTTATTTGGCCAGGAGCCAGGAGAAATCAGTTATTACAACTGTTCAGAGGCAGCTGGGCCAAGAAACTGCTCTATGGACTGGCCATAACGGGCAAGGATAACGGACTCTTTGACTTTGATCCCTTTGCAGAGGGGGGCCTACAGGTAGGGTACTATCGATACTATCGATGGTTTTAATATTTAGGAAACATCGATGGTTTCGATGCAATAATTGCATTTTACATGCAACTTTGGTACACAGAGAAAATTATACAACGTTTTAGGTGCCGTTTTCATATAAAAACGTTTTAAAACTAAAAATGCAAAGTAAAACAAATTTGTATGAAGCGTTTTACTTTTTAAAATGTTTCACTCCTTATTTTGCACCTAAAACTTTTGATAATTTTCTTTGATAATTTTCTCTGTGTGTCTTTTAAGGCCTAGTACTCACTTCAATCAAAAAGGCAACGAAACGAAAATTTCTATACAAAAATGACAGGCGGAAAATTTCGTGATCAAAATATTGTATGGAGATTTTCATTTCGTAGGCTTTTCGATTGAAGTGAGTACTAGGCCTAAGACAAAAAATTTATTTTAAAGTATATACTTAGGAACACGACGGTATTTTAATTGTTAAGTCTCAACATCGAATTTTGTTTCACTTTAATCACTGTAAAGACCATTTCTTTTCCCATAATTTTTATAAGTGAACCACACATTATCAATAATTTTTTGTTTCATATTTTTCCTTTATTTTTACAATTTCCTTTTTAATTTCTTTAATTTTCGATAGTATCGATAGTATCGATAGTGACTACCAACGATAGCCAGATTTTAACAACCCTACCTTCAGGTGGTGCATCGTTCGGCGGAGGATCCCTATTACCCCCTGAAGATGAATAACCTCAGGGGCTACCCGTTGCGTTTCTCCATGTTCACGGATCCCCTGATGGCGGTGCCCAGATATCCCGTGGAGACGGCCGGCTACAAGGCGATCGATGGAGTGGCGGCCCGAGTGGCTGCCAGGATGTTGAATGCCACCGTTACCTATGTTCTCCCCGCCGACAATGAATCCTATGGACGTTGTCTGCCTGGTGGCAATTTCACCGGAGTGGTTAGAGATATAGTGGGTGGTCACACCCACTTTGCACCCAACTCGCGGTTCGTGCTCGACTGCATCTGGCCGGAAGTGGAGGTGCTGTATCCGTACACCCGTCGTGTACTCTACCTGGTGGTTCCCTCTTCCGAAATTCAGCCGGAGTACCTGATCTTCGTGCGCGTCTTCCGGCGTTCCGTGTGGCATCTCTTGCTGCTGACCCTTTTGGTGGTGGTCCTGGTCTTCTGGGTGATGCAGCGGCTGTACAAGAGGATTCCCCGCCCGCGGCCAGTTGTCCAGTTTCAGGCCACCTGGTATGAGATCCTGGAGATGTTTGGGAAAACCCATGTGGGTGAACCAGCTGGAAGGCTCTCCTCCTTCAGCTCGATGCGCACCTTTCTGATGGGCTGGATACTCTTCAGCTACGTCCTGACCACCATATACTTTGCCAAACTGGAATCGGGATTCGTGCGTCCCAGCTACGAGGAGCAGGTGGATCGGGTGGAGGGTCTGGCCCAATTGGATGTTCATATCTACGCGGTGACCACCATTTATGATGCAGTGCGACCGGCCCTGTCGGAGCACCAGTATGGTCTGCTGGAGAACCGCAGTCGCCAGTTGCCCCTGGGTCTGACCACTTCCTATTACCAATTGCTGGTTTATCGCAGGGATCGGCGGGCGGCCTTTATAATGCGCGATTTCCACGCCCGCGACTTCCTGGCCCTCAGCTATAATTCACAGGCGGAGCGACCCGCCTACCACATAGTCAAGGAGTACCTGCGCTCCATGATCTGCACCTACATTTTGCCCCGGGGATCTCCCTTCCTGCAGCGCCTGGAGTCCTTGTTCTCGGGCTTCCACGAGCATGGATTCTTCGAGCACTGGCGTCAAATGGATCTGATCACCCGGGATGGAACCACGCCGAATGCCGAGGAGTTCTACGAGGATCTGGGCGACCAGACGGACACGGATCCCGCCGCCAACGAGGCGGGAATGCGTCACAAAAAGCGGGTGGTGCTCACCCTGGACATCCTGCAGGGCGCCTTTTATCTCTGGTCCGTGGGCATTGGGATTAGCTGCTTGGGATTCGCTGTGGAGCAGGCTTATTGCCTCTGGAGGGGTCATAAACTACGGATTTTGGATGTAACTAGAAATTCCAGAAATAATTAAAGCGTAAAGAAAAAAAACAAGAGAGAACGCTATAGTCGGGTTGTTGTCCCGACTATCTAATACCCGTCACTCAGCTAAAGGGAGTGCGAACGCTGTGTCGGGTTGGTGTCCCGACTAATAATCGTAACTCAGCTAAAGGGAGTGCGAGGGAGATAGATATATAATTTTTGATTGCGTATAACTTTTTAATGAATGGTCCGATTTGAAAAATGTCTTCTACATTTCGATAGGTATACATATACACAACAAAATTGCATTTATACTTCTCGGAAATCTTTAAAGATGTGGGCGCAGGACCCATTTTAAAATCGTTAGTGGGCGATTGTGGGCGTTAGAGGGGGCGTGGCGCTCGGCTAAAATAAACTTGCGCTGCGTAGAAAGCCAAAGAATAAGTGTGGAAAATCTTAACCTTCTGGCTTTTGTAGTTTCTGAGATCTCAGCGTTCATACAGACGGACAGACAGACAGACGGACAGACGGACAGACGGACAGACGGACAGACGGACATGGCTAGATCGACTCGGCTAGTGACCCTGATCAAGAATATATATACTTTATGGGGTCGGAAACGCTTCCTTCTAGCTGTTACATACTTTTGCACGAATCTAGTATACCCTTTTACTCTACGAGTAACGGGTATAAAAAGAACTTATATAGCCAGTTTGAAGCGTCATAACCTAAGCTTTTAACCGAAACTTGTTTAGTTGAGTGAATATATACATACAATGGCCATCACCTTCTGAAGAATTCGCGGTTTTTCATCTTTTATGATAAAGCGCCATTGCTGTTACTTAAGTAAATGTATAAATAAAATCTCCTCAAGAATTCGCGGTTTTTTATCTTGTATGCCTCTAAGTGGTAACGTTGTACGAGTAAATATACAAGTTAATGGTCTCCTAAAGAATTCGTGGTTTATAATCTTGTATAATAAAACCTCTAGTGTTGGTGTTATACGAGAATTGCTCGTCGAGCAAATATAAAAATTTTATTTCACACATGTATAATACACAAGGAATAGTATACTGTGCGTATCAATCATTTTCAAGTATTATACATTTGCATATTACTTTGTGTCATTTTCCATACCCTGCTTAAAAGTTTAAGTTAATCCTAAGTTTAAAATTAATTAATACTTGGTTATTCAGAGTCTGTCTCATGTAAATAAAATTATAATTTGTAATGATAATTGAACATTTAAATCTAACGTCTTTTTAACAGTGCCGTTATTCGCTCTGCCCTTAACAGCACCCTAGAGACCATCAGTCCCAAATATCGATAGCACACGTCTCAATATCGATAGTCCAGCGACGAGCAACCCTGATCCGGCTGTCATGTTTCACTTCCTGAACTTGCGAACAAAATAGAATCGCCAAGGCACAGAAAACCCTGCGAGTGGCGAGTGTTTTAAGATCACACTCACAAACAACATCCAAAGTGGTTAGTGGCAGTTGAGTGAGTGCCAGAGACCCCGAAGAACAGCAGGGCAGACGGATAGCCAACCACACACACAGCCAACAGCCAACGGCCGAGCAGCAGCAACAACAACAGCCTCGTTTTTCCCGCTTTTCGTTCAGCACACATAACAACCAAACCAAACGACAGACGATGGCCGATGCAGAGAACAAGGTCTTGGCTCCCGAGCCGCAGCAGCAGCAGGAGCAGCAGAATCTGCAGGAGCAGGAACTCGAGCAGGAGCTGCAGGACGAGCAGCAGCTGCAGGGCAAGCCCGCTCCGCCGCCCAAGGAAGTCATCGGTAAGGATGTGAATCTAGCTAATCCTAGCACTCGAATTCCCTATCCAAATCCCAACCCATTTCATTCATATGCAAGAACACATGGCGGCTGCTACCAAAATAGCATTGAAATAAAAGAAAATAAGGAGAAGAGAAAAAAATACATGCCTCCCTGCGCGCGTGTGTGTGTGTGTGTTTGGGTCTTAAAATATACGCGCGTCGGCCATTTTGTGCGGCCAAAGGCAACGCATGTACATATGAACGAGTGTTCGCGCCGCCGGCTAACCAAATTGAAAATTCTGCCTTTTGCCGGTCGTCTGTCTATACAGCCATTCACCCACCCACCCGGCACCACCCCCTGGCCACCCCTCCGCCCCAAAAAGAAATCCCCCCATAGACATACACGCACACACATGCATGGAGAGCCAGGGCAACCCAATTTGTTAATGCGCGCGCAGCACGAGTGCGAGCGAGACGGCTGACAGCCGGTGCGGGTGTGTGTGTCCATTGTTTTGGTACATCTACTTGTGCACACATACGCACACCTGGCTTTAAGGCGATTCCAAAACACGAGACCATCATATCATAATCACCATAATAATGCAACCAATCTATCTGTAAATATCTGGTTTAAAATGCTTTCTTCTTGTATCCATCGATTTTTTATAGTATTCGAAATTTTCGTAACTCCAGTAACTATGGTTATTGATCAGAAAATTAATGGCCCTAAAGCGATTCCAAAACACGACACCATATCATAATAACCATAATAATGCAACCAATCTATCTGTAAATATCTACTTTGTAAATGCTATCTTCTCGTATTCTTCGATGTACTTATAGTATTCGATATTTTCGTAACCCCAGTAACTATAGTTATTGACCAGAAAAGTATTGTAATTAAACTGTTTTGTAATAGATATTTCGATATTTATGCACGCTTCAATGAGTTTAGGAACAACTTTTGATTACATTGTATTTAGCCCTTCTTTTAATGACAATACCATCTGGACATTTATCATACATCCAACCCAATCCATATGATAGACCCTTCAAATACAATATATTCTGTATTTTAAAAACATTTTAGTTTTTAACATTTAGTTTTTTAATTTTTTTATTATTCTTTCTTTCTTATTTCCTGGTGCTAGAAGGACTTTCTTATAAATTAATGCACTAGTCACAAAAACAATATTGAAGATATGTAAATCCCTACTTAAATAAACTTATGAGCCTTATAGCATTTAAAAGTTGAAAGATCTGCTTATATGTATCTAACATTTAATACCAATTAACATTTAAAGTTGACGTATTACATAGTTTTTGGAAATTGAAAAATTTTTTTTTATGTTATTTACTTTGTGATTTTAAATATAAAAATAAATATTTTAAATTAGGTGTAAAATATATTTTAATAAATTTTAAAAATTCCGCAATAATAAAATAAGTCCAAATAATTAAAACCTCATAGAGTAACCACAATTTCTACCCCTACCATTGCAGCCACCAAAGTCACCGGCACCGTCAAGTGGTTCAACGTGAAGAGCGGCTACGGCTTCATCAACCGCAACGACACCAAAGAGGACGTCTTTGTGCACCAGAGCGCCATTGCCCGGAACAACCCCAAGAAGGCGGTCCGCTCGGTGGGCGACGGTGAGGTCGTTGAGTTCGACGTGGTCATTGGCGAGAAGGGAAACGAGGCGGCCAACGTGACCGGTCCGTCCGGCGAGCCAGTGCGGGGCAGTCAGTTTGCGGCGGACAAGCGCCGCAACTTCCGTCCCTGGATGAAGAAGAACCGCCGCAAGGATGGCGAAGATGGTGAGGAGCTGGACGCGCCGGCCCAACAGCAGCAGCAGCAGGCGCCGCCTTCGGTTGACGGGCAGCCGCAGCAGCTGCAGTCCGGCCCGCGCCAGCCCCGCCAGAACTTCCGCCGAGGACCACCCGGTGGAGGACCGCCCGGAGGACCTCGTGGTGGCCCCCGAGGACCGCCCGGCGGAGCTCCCGGTGGCCCCCGGCGCTACAACAACTACTATCCGCGCCAGCCGCGTCGCGGCCTGGGCGGCGGTGACGGCAGCAGCGCCGAGCCCGGCGTCCACGATCAGAATCCCGAGGGTCTGCAGCGCGGCGAGGGTCAGGGACCGCGTCGCGGTGGCGGCCCACCGGGCGGACCTCAGAGGCGCTTCTTCCGACGCAACTACAACAACGGACCACCGCCGCCACGCCGCGATGGCGGGGAATACAGTGAGTATAAGTCTTTCAAGGCATTTCTTTGGGACTAGAATGTGCCCAACAGGGTTCGGAAATTGAAACACATGTTAAAAACATGAAAAATTTTATTTTACAAAAGTGCTAAAATGTGAAAAATAATTGTTAACACACACAGCTCACTTGTGTTTTTTACACAATGTGTTATTAACACGACATGTTTTTTACACGAATGAAAATTAAATATTACTGACATTAACGAGTCGAAGGGAAAATGTCTTGTATGTTAGTTTTAACCATTTCAAAGCTTATATGAATTCATATACTCTAGAAAACCGTGCACTTTTCAGTTCATCATATAATTCTGACACTTTAATGTCTAAAACTCATTGCGTTAAATACAAGCTGTGTTAAAAACATGTCGTATAATTAACACAAATGTTTCTATTATGTTTCTAACATATGTAGGATAAAATTTTTTGCACACAAGTCAATAAATTTTTTTGAACTTTACACTTTGACATTTAACATGTTAATAACACAAGTTTTTTACAGTGTTTGTTATTTTCCGAACCCTGGTACCCAAGTTCCCTTGCATTTAATAAAATTTCTAAAATAATTATATTATATTCTTCATTGCAGTTCAAGGTCAGGGACCGCCACGCCCTCAACAGCCACGTCCACGTCGCCAGAATCGGAAACCAAATGGCCCTGGCGGTGGTTTGGAGCAGCAGCCACAGCAGGTAATGAACTAATCAACACAACAGCAACAACTGAAACATCTTCGCCAAAGCAAAACTACGATAACAACATCTAATTAGTAAACATCAGCAACAGCCAGCGGCAAACTTAACAACAACAACAAGGTCTACAATAATAACATGGTGGCGGTCTCTTGAAAACTAAAGACTAACTAAAATGCATTACAGATGCATTCATACTTAACCACTAACAACAACAGTCACTCACAAGAAAGACAGCGAAAAAGAGGAGAAACCTTAACACTTAGAGGCTTTGGGTCTAACATTCTTTTATTTTAGTTACCTGTAACTAATTGGCAAACAAACAAAAAACACACACACATTTAATGTAAAACAGAGAACTGCATTTTACTTTTACCATTTGAAATTTTTAAGTTGACTTATCGTTATGATTTTTACCCCTCGCTATCCCCACACAAAATCCTTAGAACGGCGCTCAAGAGCTGCAAAATACAACCACAGAGAGCACTGCTTAGAAAGGACCGTCGAACCGTCGTAAAACATCAGTAGCAGTAGCAGTAGCAGCAGCATATAACAACAGTCGCAGCAGCAGCAGCAGCACATCAACAACATCAGCAATCACTGCAAAATGGAGCAACAACATCAGCAAATATTGCAGCACTTTGCTAAATGAGCCGCCGCGTTTTTTCGGTTTGTTTGCTTTTTGTTTTGTTTCGGAGGGCAGCAGAACGAATTGTAAAACTAATACAACATCCAACAACAGCAACATGAAAGTCTATATCAAATTCAAAAAACAAATTTTAATCATGCCTGGCCGTCAGAAAATTGCCTAAATGTCGAATTGTATTATATAAAACGAAGCAACAAAAATAAATTCAAATACGCCCAGCAATTTAGACAGCGCCGGTATACCATTTACCTTAATGTTTTTAACAAATTTTATTTATTCTTGCAACCCTTCTCTAACGTTGTTACGTTGTGCGTTAAGCGAACCTATAACTCTAAGTTTCTCGTATTAAAGATCAACATTAAACACCTAAAACCACACTCAATCTTGTCCCATTAATACATCATCCAAAATCGAGAAATTCAAGAATCAGACGGAAACAAGGCCCCACTTAATGTATCAAAAATATAAAAGCAAAGCAGAGCAAACAAACATAAGTGAGAAAGAAACCATGTAATTCACAGCAAACAAACAAAAAAAAACTGTAAAAGAAGCAAAGTAAAAATATACAACAAATGCAAGATGGCACCAAAAGAAAAGTAAAAAAAAACTTTAAAAACGTATTGGAAAAAATAAAAAAATTGAAAAAGACAAGCATGTTTTATTAATTATCACGGCATTTGTGGGAACGGTAGTCATACAAGCATGTTATCTTTAACAAGAGTTTTTAGATAACTTTTTAAAAAATTTACCAACATTTGCGGTATTGGTCTTGTATTTTTCAAATAAAACATTAATCTCCATTAAAATTTTTTAATACATTGCAAAATTGTATTTTTTTAGTTAATAATCTATAATTATCATATAAAAACCAGGGACCGTAAATAATCGTTATCTGATATTTTTATTTTAAAAAGACTACTGTGATATTTTTTGTAAACGTCAAAAATAACGTTCTCTTTTTGTCTGAAAAGCAAATTAACTTTTATTTGTTCATGTCTATAAAGCGCATAAAAACCACTTAAATTGTTGATTAAAACTTGTACAAATCCCAGTAGTCCTTTTAAAATAAAAATCTTAAATAACGATTATTATTAGACCTGATAAAAACACAAAAGACGATATATGAACAATTTATTTAATCTGAATTAAGAGTTATTTCCTAGCCTAAATTAAATGTTATTGGCACAGGCGCTAAAGGTTTGTGGTCAAGGATGTGACGGTCGAAATGTTCAATCGCTCCAGCCGACCCAAAACAAGGAGCTCGTCAATAGAGCGCTTGGCGTAGAACTTTTGGTCCTCGCTCAAGCGCAAGAAGGCGTGAGCCCAGGATTTGGCATAGGATTCCGCTTCGGCAAGGGCGCTGGCGTCGAACAGGAGGCCGCCTTCCGTTGAAGGAAGGGGCTCAGTGGCCGCTTGTCTGAAGACTGGAGAATCATGCTGGATATTAGTTGGGTCCAGCTCAATGGGCAGCATCTGGTCGTCCTCCGTCTCCGCCGCTTCATCCTCTTCTTCCGGCTCCGGCTCAACCGACAAGTTCTCCTCTGAAAAGAGTTTCAGCAGGGGTCGAGCAGTGGAGGAGTCGAGATCACGTTCCGAATCAGGCTGTAAATTGGAGTGGCTTTAGTCGGATATTATATCCAGGGTTCGGAAAATAACATAAATAACTTGTGTTATTAACATGTTAAGTGTCAAAGTGTTAAGTTCAAAAAAAGTTCTTGACATGTGTGTTAAAAATTGTAGCCTACATATGTTAGAAACATAAATAACACACACATGTCAGTTGTGTTATTTACACAACGTGTTTTTTACACAGCGTGCTTTTAACACAATGAGTTTTTGACATTTAAGTGACAGCTCACAATAATAATACTAATAATTTATATCTTTATAATATTTATGAACTTACTGCCTGCTCCACGGCACTCTCCTCCTGTAAGTGGACCTCCATTTCGTCCTCCATGTCGCTGTACTGGGTGAGCGGATCCACGGTGTCCTCGTAGAGCCGCTCGCACTGAGTGGCAAAAACTGGAGGACGCTTGGTCGTCGATTTCTGGCTGCGCGGCGCCTGTGGAGCGGCGGTGGGCGCAGGGGCGTGGTCGGTGAGATGGGCATTCTGCTTGAGGTACCGCACATGGCACTTGTGGATGCGAAGATTGGATGTGGTGCCGCCGGTGGACTGCATCACACGCTTGCAGCCGATGCAAAAGTAACGCCATTTCAACTTTGTCCCATCGGGACGGGCTATTTCCCGGTAGACGTTCCACACGGAGCTCCGCTTGTTCTTCTTCACCAGCCGGTACTGCCCGGTGTTGATCTTCAGCAGGATGTCCAGCTGCGCCTCTGTGCACTTCTCCTCCTCCCCGGGGGCGTTTATAATAAACATATTTCGCCCAGCAATCCCAATGGACATAGCAAAAACACAACACAAATCAGCCGGAGGGAAAAACCAGGTGGCAACTCCGGCAGACAATTGTCGATTACCGATTTTAATCGAAATCGACGTGTCAAAAAAATAATCGAATCGAAATTATTTAAAACGCATTTTTCAAAAAAATAATAATAAAAACCCTGTTTTATTGATAAAACAACTATTTTTATGGACCTGTATTTATAAAAAAAAATCAAAAACTTACAAAAATTTTATTTATTATATTTGGCATAAAGAAGATTACCTAATACATAATCATATTATTTTAAAGTTTAAAATTTAAACCAATAGTCAAAATTAGAATAAAATTTAAATGACAGGGTTTTGACATTTTTATTCCAGTTTTATATTTACCATTTGAAATATTAATTAATTTATTAGTTACTTTAATCAATAATAATCAAATTGTCAAAATTAGAGGGCCTCATGTTAATATTTTTTGAAATAGCAAAATAAAATGTAAATTATTTGCTCTTTATTTCAGGGAGTTACTGTAATCTCTGCCATTCCATTTAAGATTATTTAGTTTTAAAAAAGGCAAGAAAACAATTACAATCACATTTAATTTAAATCTTAGGTTTTTATTAGCATAAATCAACATTATCTTAAATTAATAAATTGAGCGATTGCCAAAATAAGAAAAAACTTTTGTCCATGCCGTAGATGAATTCTTATCAATTTCTGTCAATAGTGCTTATTCGGATTTTTTCGGTCATATTGAAACTAATTTGCTTTGATGAATCGTTTTAAAGTATCAAATTAATTAAGGTATGACATATTAAATAGTTGTAATGATAGAAAGATTGTGTGGCGGCTCACTCATGTTCCAGAAAGGTATTTATGATTCTTCTTTATAACTACTTAGAACGTCCATAAAGTCTTTATGAAATGAGGACAGCTCCCGCACAAAAAACTTCATCAGTTTACATTTTTTTCGTTCTATGACCAGTTTTTCCTCTTCAATTTCCAGCATTCTAGCGGCTCTTTTGCGTTTAGCTCTTTTCATTTCATCGGTCGTGGAATTCTGTTGATCGAGCTCGTCCTCGTAGTTCTCCTGCGAATGTACAGTGGAGGTTTCCTCCTCGATTTCCTTAATAATATTGTCCTTTAGAATGCGAAGTTCATCCACGTCGTCCTGTGATTCATCTGGTTCGAAATCATAGTCTTCATTTCTGGTTAACCCTGCTGTTAGCTCTTTTAAGTGACTTTTCTCCTTGAAGGATTCATTATTTTGACTGGAATATGAGTGACGACCGCTATTGTTGATTGAACCATTTCCAGAGTTATTCGATCTTCTGGGCTTTTCTTCGACTAGATTCTTTTCGGCGCTAAATATTAAATTTAGGGTTTCGAAATATTCCCATTCGGATGGCGTCCCCGAAGTTTTTTCCATGTGTGCTTCTCGTCTAAAAAATGATAAAAAATATTAGATATTATAATTGCTTCGGTCATAATTTAGGGCTGTTTTTTCTTCTGCACGGAAAATTTTAAGTAGGCTTTAAACTTGGTGTTACCTTACGTTTTCAGGGCTTAAGCCCTATTTTTAATTTAACATGCATAAATTTAATTAATAAAAAGTACAACATTATTATTCACTAATTTACTTAATTACTAACATCAAATTTTTGTAGTTTCCTATTTACTATAATATTATTTTTATATATTACAATAATTAGGAAACTACATTTAATGTTAGTTATTAAGTAAATTAGTGAGGAAAATGGCTTTAATATTTTAAAAATAATAATTAATTAAAAATATCAACTCATTGTGACTAGCGCGACAATTTTAAGTGCTCACTTTTAGCACTGGGATATAAAATAATTAAATTAATTTTTTTTTTATTAATTTGTTATTAGTTGTACTGTTTTCTTACCTATAGCGTTGGGCCATATCATCAATTTTGTTCTTGATTTCCGTGAAAGTGAAGCCCAGCGACTTCATTTTGCCGGTCATTTTCCAGATAACCTTGACCCGCTTTCGAGTGTCCCGCAGATCGACGCAATTGGCGGCCCAAAGCTGGAGGAGCAGCTCGGTTGCGTGGAAGGACCACTCCGCGGGCTTGAAATTGCTCCAGGTGATTCGGCGCTCCGGCCGAGGAGTCTCTTCCTGGGGAAATCACATTGGAAATTAGATTTAATTAGCAGGAAAAAAGGTGAGCTTGGCATACGTCTTGCTGTTGGCGCTGTTGAACAGGCTCCGCATCCGAGAATGTCCCGGCATTTGGATCCTGCGAACGCATGAACTCCACATGGCACTTGTGGGTGCGCAGATTCGACGTGTTGAAGGATCGCATGACGCGCTTGCAGCCGGTACAGAAGTAGATCCCATTGATGATTGCGCCGTCGGTGCGAACCACCTCCCGGTAAACCTGCCACACGGTGCTGCCGTGCTTCCGCCGGAGCAGCCGGTACTCGCCGCGGAGCACCTTCATCGTGATCTCCCGGCTCGTCTCCTGGAACTTCGACTCGTCCTGCAGCGTGCGCGCCTCAATCATTTTCGCTCTATTTCTGTGATAAAATAAACAAAATGCAACTCGGCGGTGTGACCAGCGTGGTGAAGCGGGCCAATTATCGATGACGCTATCGATAACATCGGTGGCGTGGCTTGCACCATCGAAGGTTTGAAAACTATCGCGAGACTATCGCCACCATATTTTAATATATACCCTATATTTCTAAATTCCCAAATGATTTTTGAACGACTCCAATTAAATTTGCTGACCCTATTTTGAATAGGCTGTAATTGTCTGTAAATAACAATCGAATAACACAACTTAAGAGCCTTTTCAAAAATATGAACTGCAGTTTAAAGCAAAATGTTCAGTTTGGCTTACAAAAAGATATGTAAATAATAAAAAATACTCGAGAAAAAATTATATAGAAATTAATTTCATTAAACCTTACTTGGATTAGTTCTAATTGATTTTCAAATTATTGAAACTTTTTATTTATCTTAATAAGACATAGTTTTTCGATTTCAACTTAACCATAATGTTTATTTCGATAGATTTTAAACCGACACAAAAAATGAAATATTTAGTAACATCTTTACACTTTGAATTCTTCTGAAAGAGTGGAAAACGTCTTGTACATAACACCTAATTGCACTAATTCTTATGCTTAAGGAAATGAACTATATCTTTGTGGAATGAGTTCAGCTCCACGAGAGCTTCTTTCATAACCTGCAGCTTTTCTCGCTCGATAATCAGTTTCTCCTCCTCAATCTGAAGGATTCTGTCTGTATGGCTAACTGGGATCTTGGTTTTGGTGCGATACTTCGAAACAGGCGACGGGGATAATTGTTCCAGTGGCTCTTCCTCCTCCTCTTCATCCTGAATGTCTGGGATATTTGGCGAGGGTGACCGCGTTCTCTTTAGAGTTTCCTTCGTGCTCAATTCATTTTCAAATTCATCCTTCGGGTCTTCTGCCATCGATTCATCTTTCATCGAAGCCATTTCTTCATTATCAGATTCCACATCGGTGAAAAGAGCTGCTTCTGTAAGAAAATGTTTGTCTTTTATAAGTCTTTATTACAAATCAATATTATATGGTTTTACCAGGATCATCGCACATTATATCCTCAAAGACATTTACGGCTTTCGTGCCAATTAGAAGTGCCTGAAGCCTGTGGAAGTGTTCCCACTTGGAGGGAACTCCAGTCTCACGGACTCTCTCAGCTTCTATGCTGTAGATTAAAAATGAATAAAATAAATAAATATTGGATAAAAAGCTTTAGGCCTTACCGATACTTTCGCGACATATTGTCCATTTTGGTCTTGAGCTCCGTGTGACTCGGTCCGAACTGGCTCATCTCATGGGCCATCTTCTTGTAGATCAGGATATTCTTTGACTCGCCACGGAACTCCTTCAAATGTTGCGCCCATAGCTGCAATAACATTCTCTCGGCATCCTTTTTCCACACGTGACGCTCCGTTTTCGAGTATAAATCCTCAAATGTATCTGGTTTTAGGTTTTTGTGAGGATGAAAGATCTCGTTTCGAATCACTGGCTCATCGGTTTTTTTCGGTGCTGTTTCCTTTACGAGTCGCGGAGTTGCCGGCTGCGTTACTTCCTCATCGAGTAAGGCGATGAGAGGTCTCTTGAACTTTGGTCCTGGCCTTCGACGTTCCGGCGTCATATCCTGAAATAAACAGGTTAAAATATAACAAATAACTTAATTTTTAACTTTAATTAAGAGTCAATATGAAATGCTTAGCTGAAAAGGCAAAATTTACCAGCATTTTATATGATGGCGAATTTATATGTCGTGAAAGATTAACATTTAGGAGTTCCACTATATATAAAGTTCTAAGAAAGTTCTTAGAAAAATTGAATGGTTTATGAAAAGTGCAAAATTTAGCTATTGGAAATACTATGTTATTGTAAAGTTTGCTATTTGAAACCATTTATCTGCATTAAAAATGGAAGTACAAAGGTAGGTCAAAAAAAAATCGAACATTTAGCAATGTTTAGAAATGATATAAGAGTTTCTAGAGATCCTAAGATTTCGAGACTAGATCTTTTTCGAACATGATAATGTTTGTGATGAACATGTGGTGCTGTACAAACATAGGAAGCGTTTTTGGCTCTGCAGGGGAATATAAATAAGACCCCGACTCACTTCATCGGGCTTGGGATCCTCGGCGAGGAATACAGTTTCGTAGAATTTCTCGTACTCGGATTTTGGCGGGAACGTTCGCTGCGGCTGGGCGGCAATGGGTTTTTTTTCTACGCCAAGACTTCTATTGCGATTGTTTTGGGCAATTCGCTTGCTTCTCGGCCCGGCAACCGTTTTCCGGGAATCTTGCGCCGCCTCCTTGCCACTGGCTGAAGCTCCACTCGTTCTCGACGGCATTGCAATATGCTCTTCGTTTGGCTCTAGTAGGTAGCGTCAATTCTGCTTATTTTATTAGTAAAATTGCCCTAAATATTTTGTAATATCCTCGCGTTTGTTGTCGTCACTAGTGGTGGAACCAAACACCATGTGTGTTCGATACTATCGGTGCTTACTGAATGTGGAGTGTTTCCCAACACCGGCAGCTATCGATAGGCAACCGATATTTGGCAGCCCTGGATATTGTTGGCGGGAAGTTTTAAAATTATTTTCGTAGAAAGAAAAACAAAAAGTCTTTTAGACTAAAACTTTTAAATTACAATTAAAACAAGAGAGAACGCTATAGTCGGGTTAGTGTCCCGACTATTTAATACCCGTCACTCAGCTAAAGGAAGTGCGAACGCGGGTTGGTGTCCCGACTAATAATCGTAACTCAGCTAAAGGGAGTGCGAGGGAGATAGATATATGTAGATATTTTGATTGCGTATAACTTTTTAATGAATGGTCCGATTTGAAAAATGTCTTCTACATTTCGATAGGTATAAATATACACAACAAAAGTGCATTTATACTTCTCGGAAATCTTTAAAGATGTGGGCGCAGGACCCATTTTAAAATCGTTAGTGGGCGATTGTGGGCGTTAGAGGGGGCAGTACAACATTGTATTAACTTAATCCGAAATTCATTGAAATTTATTTCTTAGATTGTGCTAATAATTTGTTTCTTATTTTATCTTTTGAGAGTTTAATATTTTGTCCCTTCTACTTGTTAGATACAACCCTTAAATGGATTAAAGGCTAGTTAATTTGAATCAATTGTTGGGACTACAATTGCCCCAGATGCTTTCCAATGTGGCTTTCGCACGCACTTTTAGCTAATCAAGCTAGGTCAGCCGGCATTTGTATCTGCATCTGCAACTGGAAACAGCATCTGCATCTGGGAACGAGCCCAAGGCAGAGCGGACGACAACAATCAGCGACAATTGCCCAAAGATTGCGACTAATGGTCGGCCGACGCACGTCGCCGCATCAGACAGAAGGTGCCTGTGGGAGATTTTCAACCGGTTTCGAATGATTCTCCTGTCTTCCGACTCTTCCAGTCTTCACACGCAGAAAAATATCACAGAAATCTCCATATTTTCGACGACAAAAAAAAAACAACCATTTATGCCAAAAATGCAAATATTGATAGATTTATTATCAGTTTTGCAGATATCATTTGTAATTGCTTTTATCTCCTTTTCACATATTTTTTTAAAACACCTTCTGATTTCCTTATTTATTTCTCTCTGTGCAGACTCCTGGCTCCTGCTTCTGGCCGGCTGCAAAATTTTGTGGCTCGTGCTCGGTGATTGCCAGCTGCTTGTGGCCAAAACTTATGGTTTAGCATTTAACCTGTCACTTAATCGAAAAAGCTGCCCTCTGCCATCCAGAAGTTTTTTAATGACGCTTGGCTCGTGCCGCAGCAGCTGTTTGATCAGGAGCTTCCACTGGCTCCCCACTGTTAGATGTCCCAGATACGAAATAATATGAGGGCAATTTTGAAAGCATTAAACAACCCAGCCAACGCTCTTTAAAAAACACTTTAAGAATATATCAGAACATCCTTAGAAGTTTCGTCAAACGACAAAAACGTTTTAAAAGCCTTCTAAAAGGAAAATGGTCATGTCAATCCTAAAAAATTAATATGTTTTTTTATAGTTATTTGTATTTATTTAATAATTATTATTGAGCAAAAAATAATAACATATACAAAATCTATAACTTAATTTTTAAATAATCTTCATTAAACATTATGCATAAAAAATGCTTACGGTTCCCTAATAAGTCAATAATGTATTTCGTTTAGGTACCTATGTACATTTAATAGCACATTTTTAATTTTACGACCTGGAAACTTGTAATAATTTTCTTCATTGGAAAACTACAACTGGAACTGCAATTATGATGCCATGGACCATGGTTCCCTCTCAATCCCAATCCCAGTCCAATTCAGGCAGCAGCACATAAACACGCTGATCCAACTGTCTTGTTGATCGTAGCTTTCCTCATTGTGTCGAGCCAACTTAATTGTTTCTTGTGGTTGCTGACATTGTTTCTTTTTTGCCATCCGCTCGGGAACCCCAACTCGGCTGAAAAAAAAACCCGACAATTGTGGCCATGACTTTGTGCAACTGGCGACATCAGAGCCACTGTTAAACACTTGAAAAAATGATTATTCAATGAAATAAATAAAATAAAAATTTATAAAAACTATAATATTTCATAAATATAATATTAAGCTAAGTTAATGTATTAAATATTTAATTTAATGTATTCATCAATTAAGATGGTAAAGTATAGACCCTTTTTTTCGCAGTGCAGAAACATTAACAACTTGCCGATGGCTCCATGGCATCATTATGAGACTGGCTCCGAAGTTGAGACTGGGCGAGACCTTATTTGTTTGGCGCATAATTTAAGTTAAAGCCCGTGCAAATGTCGCATTGTTGAATGTTGTCCGTTGTCTGTTGCATGTTGCCAGTTGCTCGTTTGCTGTTGCTGGCCTACGCCTTTTGTTGCATGCCCAACTGATGGCCAGAAAAAGACAATTAAATAAAATGAGGATTCATGGGGTCATTTAAAAAAAAAACAGGTATGATACTAAAATATTCTTTATTTATGTTTGCTGTTCTATGCAAAATAAAGATTTTCGAAATATCTAAATGATCTATAAATATTTAAGAAAATGGAATATTTTAAAATCGAAATAAATGTAAGTTTTATCATCGAAAGCTTCATAATAATATTTTTTTATTTGGTCAAAGTTAAGTTTTTTTTAAATATTTTTTTCAATGTTTCCTTAGAATCTAAACTTTCGGTTAGCTTAAGCCTTGCTATATTTTTTTTGGTGTACTGATGATATGGCCCAATCCGTTGGATGTGCCTGCTGGCGCTTGATTGCAGGTTGTCATGGGTTCGGCGCACTCGACGCGCATCCATTCAGTCAGGACTGACAGACGGCACAAATCCACATATCCCCACATCCTATGTATATGTAGGATCCCCAACGATCGGCGTGTCTCTCCAATTGCATTTATGTTGGCCATGTCCCTTTTTTTGACGTGGGTCGATGTCGGTCGGTTCTTACGTGATTCCACCAACCGGTTTTCAGATCAACGGGGTGGCAGTGACAGGGTGGTGGGCCCACAATTTGCTGGATTGTATTATATTATTGCATTTTCCATCTCAAAATAGCTTTCAGATCAGGATCACAACTCTGCTGGCGGCCGAGAGTTGCATCCTTGCACGGAAAGTATTTCATATATTATAAGTTAATTTTTAGATATTTAATGTTTTTATAAAGTTTATTTTTTGATATTAAAATTAGTCCTTTTCTCTGTTTTTTTCCCCAATGTACTTATTTTCCAAAGAATATTGAAATAAAAATATTTTCATAACCACAATATTTTACTCAATATATTTTCCCTGTGCGATTTTTTATTATATTTAGTTTTTACTGATGTTAATGCCATCCAAAAATTACTTTTTTTCTTTCCGAATTTAGTTTTTTTCCGTGCAGCACTTCATAACTATATTGACACAAGTCTGGCCATAAAGAAACACAACTTATGCGAACGGTGTGCGCTGCGCCCGTGTGGCACCATGTGGGTGGGTGGTGCAGCCAGATAAGATATTTTTCGGCCTAAAGAAGTCGCCGAAACTGCAGACGTAGGAAAACTCGACGGGTTTCACAATAAACAGATACTAGTCATTTTACTTTCACATCGCAAACTATTTATAAAGATTTCATTTGAATTGCATTACGAATAGTAAGGTATATATAAAATACAAAGTTCCATAACTAATAAAAAGGTATTTAATATTATTGCAATTCTTTTTTTTTAACAAAATAATATAATTGAATAGCATAGTACAGTGAGAGGTCAGATCTAAGCTTGTTTACTCATAAAAGTAATTAGTACCTCAAGCAAAATATATGTTATACTCACTCCATTAAGATGAAGTTGTCTTTGAGATAGCAGCTACACCCAAACTTTTTTCATACGTAGACGTATCAATTAGGCGGACAAGCCCAACGAAATCTGTTAACTCCGTGGGCCGAGCTTAACCCAATTTACCCGACCATCTCATCGCGGCACAAAAGTTCTGGGAAGAAAAGAATAACAAATAATTTCCTATGGCTATCATTTGAATCTAACTGTGAGCAACATTAAATGAGACTATCCCGCCTTAACATACAAAGCCAGGTTTAGAGATAGCCCAAGAAAAAAAGGGGATTCTGAGAGGAAAACGATCTCAAACAAATCAGCTGCGGTTATTTTTCTTGATTATCAGGAAACTCGACTTTGGGATACCTAAAATTGAGAAGATCAAAGTCATAACTATTTAATTAAAGAAAAATAGTAATCTTAATAATAATAGTAATCAAAATATATGTATATATTTGGACCAATACATTTTTTCGGTATTAACGTAAGGTCATAAAGTAGATATATTCTGTATATAAAATTCGGTCCAGTTTTATACAGTATACCCCCTTAACTATACGAATAAGGTGGGTAAGAAATAATTTGATTTGAAAAAAGTCAATTAACCATAGAACCCGCTTAAAACACGAAACCAATAAGTCGGCTTATCAGAACGATTGAGCGTGCCCCAAACAGTTCGCGGCCATTGAAATTAATTACGTGTGTGCACAGAAAAAAATGTGGAGTTCTTTTATTTATAAAATTACAATTTTTAAGAAAAGCTGAATTTAGCAGAGCTTACGTACTTATATTAGACGCTAAAAAGTATGCACTTCTTTTTTTTTATAATTTTAGACCCTTGAATTAAAGATATTTGTAGAGTTTATTAATTACAAATTCCCTTTTATCACAGAAAATTTTAAAGTATGGTCGATAGAAATCCCTTAAAAATGTATTTAATATTATTTTTTATAATTTTAATTTTTTGAAACTCTTTAACTGAGTATGTTGATCTCAAAGTAAAAAAGATATTTTTAAAGTGTGTGCAAATGAGAGGGGGAGTACTCGCGACAGGGGGAAACAGTAGCAGTAAAAAGTTTAATGAGCTGAGAAGAGGAAGAGGAAGAAAGAAACGACAACCACAAAATCGACGGCAACAACAAATGCAACCAGAAGAAG